ACTGGGTTTAAGTACCCGTAAACATGTAAAATGTTACCCAACTATGACAAAGTATTCAGGTTTCCATTTTTTACTCCTACCGCACCTGTCCTACCAGCAGATCTGGGTTCGAACACTTCCGCAAAAGCCCTCAAGCATCTCGTCACAGGCTGGGTTTGGGTTCTTTCTAAGGGTTGATTACAGCAGGGGTTACTTAAAGATCCCCTTTGAAGGTTCCTAAGCTTGTTTTGAGGGCTCTTGTTGTCCGGAGTCCTGCTTTTGCCTGTAGAATCGGAGGTTCTGGTTTCTGGAGCCCTGGAGACCCAAATCTGCTCCAAAGCATCCTCAAACGTCCACTGTAATGGTACCCACGAGGATGATATAAGGCTTACTATGATAAGGGGCAGTGTAATGAAATGGTTGCTACTTTACTGTAGGGAACGAACTAGACAGTTTGGTACCAATACTATTTGGGGGGCTCCTTCTTGTAATGACAGTATAATTATAATGGGCCGCAAAACCCTATTCCAATTATTAAGGCCCCTATACTGGAAAGGTTGGTTATGAGCGGTGAAAGCGGGGCCTGCCTTCATTTTCAGCGAGTACAGCCTTGGGCCAGCGCAGAGATGCAGCGTCGAAATGGGGAGGTGAGGGCCCGGGGGGTTTAATATAGAGGCCTTTATATTTAGAACAGGATTCCCTTTAAGGGTTCCTTTGAAGGGCTCCATAAGGATTACTATCAAGGGGTATATTGGGGGTTTAATCTAGGGGCCTTAATGATTAGAATAGGATTCCCTTTAAGGGTTCCTTTGAAGGGCTCTATAAGGACTACTATCAGGGGTATATTGGGGGTTTAATCTAGAGGCCTTAATAACTAGAATAGGGTTTTGTGGCCCATGAAACTATAATCATAACAAGGAGCGCCCACAAAAGTATAGATTAAGGCCCCTTTAGTAGGGGTTTCGCCCTGAACCCTAGACCCTGAAACGGCTTAGCTTAAATGGGTTCGCGTTTTAGTCCAGGTCCTGCCGTTCTTGTGGAATCCACTGCCCCGACTAGGGACCGAAACCGACAACCTGCGTACTCACCGTCTCCTAAAGGGTTTTTGGTTCTGGGAGCCTCAAAACAAAAATCTCAAAATGGCTGTGGCCAAGGGTCTAGAGATAGCTGCCTGCAGCCGCCAGTCCCATAACAAAACTACCAGAAGTAATAAAAACACACGACGGGAAAGCTCCCATTCCTCTTGTCCTTTTGTAGCGTTGTATAGGGGGTTTTACACTCTCCATGGTAGTTCCTTTTTATACTATGCCGAGGATTGCCTTCCTCAACTACGACATGGATTTAGAAGCAGTGCCACGATACTCACTATCCAATAACGGGAACACCTTGTGGTAGGGGACTCTGCCGCACAAATGAGGCATGGAAGAAACTAGTCTTTTCGAAAACCTTGCTGCCCTTCCCGTGATGTCTTTCCGATCTAAGGCAAAGAGCGCACGAACCAACTTCGTGCTCTAGTTCCTAAGCTCTAAAATCTAACGACTAAACCGCTGCCCCTGACAGGAACCCTGAACAAACTGAAGCCCTGAGTTGAAACTTCTCACGTTTAGGCCAAAAACCTCAGCCGAAATCCTTGATGATCGTTGAACCTCTCTTCCGACCACTACACCTTAATACTTGGAATAAGTTTTCGGTATATTGTAGTATGGGTATATTCAGGAACCCTAGGGGCCATACTATTCATCCTTCAGGCCCCCGTATTCCTTAAACCCTATAAACCCTAAGGACCATAGTATTCATGCTTCAGCCCCCATATTTCATGCCGGAGCCGGGTCACCCCATCAACGTGGAGGAGGGAGTTGGCCTGATCCGAGGGTCTAGGGCTAGGGGTAGGGTTTTGGTGTACCCAGAGACTCCAATATCCCTTGATTAAGGAATATTCCTTAAATTATAATAGGATCCCTACTATAATTTAATAATTTAAGGAACATTCCTTAATTAAGGGATGTTGGAGTCTCTGGGTAGGGTTTAGGGTTTAGGGGTTTAGGGTTTTAGGGGCTTTATCTGTTGGGACAGGGCTTCGGGGGTGTATTCGAGTAGAAGTATGTCCTTGTTCAGGCTTCTACGTTAGAGCAACTTACGGTGAACTCCCATGTGATATGGAATGCCAAATTTCAGGGGGGTTTAGGCATGATGAAGGCAGGGACTCTCTATGCTGTACCTTCTGGCTATGAGGATATTGATATTCAAACTTTCCGGTTGTCCCGATGAAGGCCATATAAGGCTATCTCGCGTTCAGGGCTCAGGGCTCCGGACTTGCAGCCACAATACATTGAAATCGGAGGCCTGAGTGCACCGCTTATCCCCCAAAGCACTATGAGGCTTAGTGCTGCTTGGATGTGTTCGGGAAGCTTTTCTGCAGTAAGGCCATTCCGGACCTTTGACCATTCAGCACGCTAGAACCGTGAATGAGCGCACGCACGCTGCAGTGCGCGACCAGCTAACGGTATCGAGCCTCTGTCGGTCCCCGGGAAATCGCCGACATCACAATCGCATGGCAGGAGTAGCTCTCTACACGCAAGATACTCGCATAGCACAAACATAATCACATACATTGAACCTAATATTGAATACACACACACACACATTCTATGTGCATGCTTTCTACCTTGGTATCTTCGATATCACTGGAGCATTGTGAAGAAGTGCTTACAGTCTTTACGGCTTGGGGTCGCGACATCTGCAAAGGTTCAACTTGCTGAGTTGTCGCCTGCTGCAATCGCTAGTCTATGAACAGAGGAACCTCTAAACCCTAAAACCCTTCTCAACTAGCCGTGAGCCTCCCGATTGAATGCAGCTGCCCCTTCTTGCACTCTTCGGCCCTTTATGAGGTCCTACCCCTTTCAGCTTGAGAAGCGTGCGCGTTTTGTAGGTTTTGTTTTAGGTCGAGGGAGCAGAAGCAAACCACAAATCTTAAACCGCCTGGCCTTCAAGCTCAGTGTCCAGCCACATTGGGGATCTGGCTATCCTAACAAAGCGCATAAGCTTTAACATGGCTTTCCAACTGGTTCCAAGCCGCCCCAAAAGATCGCGGTCATATCCGCAACCCCGATGCCCTAGAGCCCTAAAGCCCACACTGAGTGAAAACTCTAAACTCTCAACAGCAGCCGCCCGGAGCGGTCCCTTCGCACCCTGGCCCTCTTAACCCAGCAACTTTCAGTCCCAACCTCCACTGTTTAGAGTTCAGGGTTTAGGGCTCAGGGTGTAGGGTTTTGATCTAGGGTTTAGGGTTGTAGAGGTTTAGAGTTTAAGGTATAGGGCCCGAACTTACGAGATGGGCCACGTAGCGTCCTTCTTCTGGTGATCTTTGGAATTCCCATTCTAGTTCCTGGGTCCGTACTACGTTTCTGAAGATGTCAAACAGACACAGGATCCTTCAGGGAGGCTCGCTGGAAGGAGGGAGTGATACCTTGGAGAAGCTTAGGATCCAAGTTGGGAAGGAGTTTGGGGTGTAGGGCCCAGTGCAGGGTTACGCGTAGGCGCCTCCGTTCGATGTCTGAAAGAAAAATATCAATGCCCAGCCAATGACCCAAAATTTCCAGTATAGCGGAAGCCCTAAACCCTAAACCGTTCTCTTCTACCCTCCATCCGAGATCAAAGCCCTTAAGCTGGCAGCAAGAATCATTTGGCCGCGGCTGGTGCGTTCGACCGGCATATCTCATACAAAGCGATTTCGAGGCCCAGACGAGACCTTTCATATAGGGGCCTTCATGTATCATTAATTAGAACAAGGTTTCGAGGTATATTTATAATGTAAGAACGACACGAAACCTGCAGGAACCGCAGTCAGAGTCAGGCCCCTATATTCAGCCTAAGCATGAGGATTAGCAGAGCTGCAGTCGTTGGGTTCCACTTTACAGGTGGGTAGTTGCCAAAATTATGGTCCCTTGTTGGGTACCCTAAATATTGGGTGCCGTACTATACTAGGGACCCAAAGAGGACCATGATTTTGACAACCACCCAGGTCGCCCCAGGAACCGGAGCTCTAGGCAAAACGGCTCCAAGTGCTCCTTCAGTCGGTGCTGGTCACTGCTATGGGTAACGTAGGATCCTGGTTAAGAAACCTTGGGCCTTTGTTAGGGTTCCTTTTATGAATTCTACTATTTTGGGGTTATAGGCCCAAGGTTTCCTAGTCAGGTTCCTACATTAAGCCTGGAAATGAGGGTCAACTTTAAAGGTCCCTTTTTGCAAAGGTGCCCCAAACCCTGAAGCCTTAGGAAAGGGTCCCTAAAGCTTAGACTGTAAGGACTTCTATCTGGGTTACCAAATCCCCTTAGCCCGACTATCTTGGGGACCCTAATTTAAAGAGCTACCCGTATGGTGTAGAAGCCGAGATGCGCGGTCTGGGCTTAGGGCTTACCGTGTGTGGTTAGCAGATTCGGCTAAACTCTATACTATAGGCGTCTTTATGATTGGAACAGGGTCTATTATACCCTACGTGTAATAAGGCAATTAGTCAAGCCCCCATAGTAACCATGCGTGCAGACCACTTGGACCCTTCGAACTTAGTATTGCAAGATCTCTCCACCGCAGCCTGGAGAAGCAAATTTCCACAGCGCTTCGGAGGAGGATCTACTGCTGTGCAAGATGGCTTAAAATCAGAGACGGCCCCTGATAAATATGATTTTTGTCAGGACTCTCGCCATCTGAAGCTTGCTCATGAGAAGCAAGCAGAACCAGAAGCAAGGCCTATGTTGTTTGAAGTGAGATAGGGTACGTCCTTTTTGTACAACCCCTGACGATCCGTCGATTATGTTTGACCCTAAGTTGCAGAAGCCCAGCCGGCGAGAAGACTGTATACAGGGGCCTCAATCTGGATTAATTTATGGTGGTTGACATGGTATTTTTGAGATAACGAACACTCAGGAATAGTCTTGGTGATTCTCAGTCTTCTACATTGCAGTCCTTCGCACAATCTTACTTAGCCAGAGCAAATAGTTTCGCTTCATCCGCCAAAGCGGATATCACCCGCCTTCCACAAATACGCCTGAGCCGTTTGCAGCCCTCAACCGCAGAACCCACATGCTGGCTGGTCTAGGCACCCCCACAGAAGATTTTGACATGCTATCGGGTATGATATATTAGCATGTCATGCCTAACATATAAACATGTTCGAGATAGTATATACTAAACATAACATATCGTCATAATATGTTCCAGATAGTATATACTAAACAGAGCATATCGTCATAATATGTTTGAGATTACATACTATAGAATACAAAAAATGAAGGGGTCAAATTCGGGTTCAGGGTTGCAACTTGAGACTCTAAAATACCTCTAACTCCCACCCACGCCCTGAAGTCCCAGAAGCCCTTCACCGACAAAGCCTAATGTAGGTGGCTTAATGATCAGAATGGGGCTCCTTTAATGATGGGAGGCCGAAAGGGTGGTTTAAGATTCTTGGGGTAGGGATTCCTTAATATGAACCCTATTATGGGAAGCCTAAACCCTACTAAACCCCCATATGCTAAAACCCCTTCTGGCCTCCTATGATTTAAGGGATCCTTTGAAGTTTTGGGGATCTACGGTAGGATTCTATAGCAGGGGCCTTAAGAATTAGAAATAAGGTTTTTTAGGGGGGGGTATATTATAGCATAATGAGGAACCAAACCCTAATGTAGGTTTGGGGGTACATTCTAAACCAAAATAAAAATAACTATAAGGAGCCCTAAGAATACTATTGGTAATTATCTGGGCTTCTGTATTAAGCGACAAACCCTCACCCCAAGCCGTCCTTTGATCTCCGAAAGCCCCACTTATCCCCCTCCCGCCCCCCCACTGTAACCCTAAAACCCTAAAGTCTGCTAATACACTTACAGATCTCGTATAGGAACTAATACACTTATGGATCCCTTAAAGGAACCCGTAAAGCCCTCAAAGAAAGTCTTAAAGGAACCCGGAAAGCCCTTAAATATATGAACCCCCTAAACAAAACAAAGCAAAGACAATCTTCAGATATGTGCCGACTCTGAGAACTAGCACGGCGTTCAGCCGGTATAGTTTCGGATGTTGCCTGGCATTTTGGGGTTTAAGGGTTTAGAGGGCTTAGGGGGTTCTAGGGTTTCTAGGGCTTACAGGGTAATTTTAAGGCTTGTGGGGCTTATGGGGTTTACAGGGTTTCGGGTTTTAGGGTTTCGGGTTTTCGGGTGTATGGGGCTCGTAAGGTAGGGTTTGCAAGGTATTTGGGGGCTTATGGGGTATACAGGGCTTAGGGTTTTAACGCTTATGGGGTTTGCAACGTATTTTCAGGTTTATGGTGTCAGGATTGCCTGCTTGGTAATCCCAACCCTTAAGTTCCCAAGCCCCAGCCATCTCAAACCAGGTGGACCTTCAATCCTAGACCCCTGCACCTGTACCCCCCTCACCCCAAAGCCATAAACTCAGCACCCGAAACCCAAACCTTCACTCTAGAGGAAGCTATTTTGAGGCCGACGAATTCAGCCCCCGAGTGTGGGGTCGGGGTTGCTGATTCGGCTTTCGTGTGAAGGATTTAGGGTTGGCGGTGCCCGGGAATCCAATCGTGTTTAGGGTTTTGGGTTTAGGGTTTAGGGTTTAGGGATCGGGTTCAGAGTTAAGTGGCTCGGCGCCTCAGGGGCACACCGCATGATGGATGGAAAGGGAATCGCATTAGCATCTCAGGCTGCTCCAATCTAGGACACCAAACCAAAGACTCCTAAAGCCTGAACTATACTGAACTTAGAACCCTAGCAAGAATTATAATTCTAGCTGTTTCTTAGGGATTATAATAACCAAAGATTCAAAATTATTCCTAAGTACCCCTAAGTGAAACCATACACCCAAGATTTTCCGTGTTTGCCTCCCCGCGATCGGGCTTCTTCGGTCTGGGGGCTTGGACCTAAAGGCCTCCAAAGGCCCTTGAAAATGGCTTTTGTCTTATCTTCGGCGCTTCAAGGCTGCATTTCATCCAGGGGGAAAAGGAGGGACCCTTAATGGGGACCCCTACCCTATAATGGGCTATATAATGGGTATATAATATCTATATTAAGGGTATATACCTAGGGGTCCTTATTAAGGGTCCCTCCTTTTCCCCTTGGATTTCAGAAGGCCCATAACTGCCATAAGCCGGGTTTCGGGTTTAGATTTTAGGCCCATTAACCGGTTCAGGGTTTAGGGGCTTCAAGGCATTCCAGAAGGCCATCGACCGTCATCCTGCACTTTAACCTTGGGGTTTAGAGCCCCAAAGCCAAAGCCCTGACGGAATTACCACCTTACAAACCCCACAAGCCATTCAACCCCCGAACTCTAATTCCAAAAGACGCCAAATGCCTGAGACCCATGAAGACCCGTAGCCCTAGATGCGCGTAAAGAACCCTATAACCATAAGGCCCGTACTCCCCCACAGAGCGCCTGTAACTAAAACCTCATACGAACCCCCAGGCGACAATAACATGAAACAAGTTTCATAACCCTACACAACTTCCCACAAGACACTCCAAATAAATTCCATTGCCTCGGTCGATGATGTGCAGTTGCAGGCATCGCCGCTCTGCGTGCTCCAGCTCCCGTAATGCTTCCTCGCGCTCCTGCGCATGAGTTTGGTTTCATTGATTTAGAGTTGTGGGTTGCATAGAGTTCTAGGGCTCAAGGCTTTGATTGCTCGGGTCACTTGGCAGGATACTACCCTCGTAGGCCATTCGGGTTCGGCGCTTCGGAAACTTATTGGGAGGTTACCCAAACCCTCGGATAGGGTTTTGGGGATGCTTGGGCTGAGGGCTCGTCGTTTGGAGCATCGTGGCAGCGGCAGCTGTGCTTCACTTGTGCGGGCAGAAGTGAAACGAAGCCCTGAATCCGAAAAGCGCTACTTGGAGGGTCGGGGGACTTAGTAACTGGTTATTCGAAGGACTTCTAAGTACCATAACCCCAATTAGGGTCACTTTTAGGGTGCTTATAAGTCTACTTACTACCTACTTACTAAGTCCCCCGACCCTCCAAGTAAGGTTTCCGAGCTATAGGATGGTTGGGTTGGGGCTGTTGACATCCTACCCTCACCCAGAGAGCCCAATACCCTTTAATTAGGGAATATACCTAAAATTATAAGGGGGCGCGTAATATGATTTAAGCTATATTCCTTAATCAAGGGATATTGGACTCTCTGGGCAAGCCCTTGTCCCGAAAAAGTACCCTTGGTTTGGGTCCGCACTCGAAACCCTGTAACCTCAACCCCTAAAGTAAACCCTAAACCCCTGAAGCCCTGAAGCCCGAACCCTAAACCCCTAAAGCCCGTGAGCCCGAACCCTAAAACCCTGAAGCCCTGCACAAACGAAAGCCCGTTTTGATTTTGAAGGCGGCCTGCTGCAGAGTTGCCAGGGACAAGGGGTCGCCGTCTTGGCAGACCTGAGAGAAGTGGGTTTAGAGTTTAGGGTTGAGGATTTAGGGTTGGGTTCAGGGTTTAGGGTTCAGAGTTTGGGTTCAGAATTTTGGGTGTCGGGCTCGGAGTTTAGGCCTTAGGGTGCAGGGGCCCTGTAATAATCAACATAGGGCTGTAGAGGGGTTTGGTAAGGTTTTGTAGAAGCTTTATATGGGTTGCTTAATGATTAGAACAGGGTTTCTTCGAGGAGATTCCATAAGGGATCCTCCTATATGACAGTGAGTTCTGCAAGACCGGGGCCTTCACAACTGGAATCGGGTTTACAGAGTCAGTTTCAACAGTTTTCTTTTAATGGGGTGTTATACACAGAAACTTCTTCTTCATGGTGTCACGGCGGCTCTGTGATATGAGGTCTACAACTACATAGGGAACTTGAGAAGTAGAATAGGGTTCCTTTCGGGATTCTGTCAGGGATCTAAATTACACGAACATGGATTCCAGAGCATGGCACGTCCATAGTTCTGCAGGGTTTTGGTTAAGCATTACACAACAAGGAGCCCTAAAGGCAGGTATTACCATGTCTGGCTGATGGTTGAGGCCGAGAGTCTGTATTGCGATAAAAAACCCCCTGCGTTGCATGGAGTTGCCCAGAGAGCCCAATACCCCTTAATTAAGGAATATACCTTAAATTATAAGAGGGCGCATAATATGAGTTAAGGTATATTCCTGAATTAAGGGGTATTGGGCTCTCTGGGTGTCAGACGGAAGCAAGGGGTCCCAACGCTAGAACCCAAACCAAGATCATCCACCCAGCTGCCGCTGCAACACCTCAACAGTAAGGGTACTCCATCTCGATTACTCAACGTTATGAAGAGACCCCAGCAAAGAAGGGGTATCAGTGTACTACTGAGGGTCCTAGTGCTTGCAAGCATCCCCAAATCAAGCAAACCTGATCTTATAACCCCTTTATGACATGGGACTTCAAGATCGATTAAAACAGTGGGAGCCGGTTCAACACCCGAATATAACGCGCGCTTTAAGGCTTTCAATGCTAAGGGTAAGGTGTAGGGTTTCGGGTAAAATCTGGGATTCGAGTTTCGAAGCCTTCTGCCAAAGTACCGAAGCCTTCGGTTTCTGAAGCAAAGCTACCGGGCTTGTTACGGTTGATGATACATATATATATATATATCCTGCATTACCTCACTGGCCCTAAGCTATGGGGACTATGGTAGATTGCATACTATGGGTAATGCAGGGTTAAAATCATCAGCCGTATTACGGTGGAGGTGGCGAGGCCATGAACTGCTTACGTCGCTTGGGAAAAGATCGAGATATCGCAGTACTCGATCTACAGATGCCCGGCTTGGCCTGGAGAATTAGTAGAGTAGACCGTATTTGCTGCCCGGGCCCCGTGAAGTAGCCGCCAATCTCAGCATGAGGACCCCAACAAGCCTTGAACTACGAACCTCTTGGACCTTCCAGCCGTTCTCGCTCTAATGATCTAACAGAGGCCTAGAGAGCTAAACACCCCTCAACAACAACTACTTCAAAGAGGGACTACTGTCATGCGCTGAGTTGATCTTAATAGTTAACGGGTACTGATCGGGCTCTCTGGGATCGTGTTGAAAGGCTCGATGTGTTTGCAAAGCGCAGAGGCCCCGGCACAGTGCATGACGGACTCGTGCACGCTATGGAAGAGCCAGTCCTACATGCGATGGGCCGGAACCTAAAACCCCAAGCTAAAAAGGCCGAAACCACCCCTTAAACCCAGAACTCTTGACGCCAGAGCCTAAACTCGAAACCCTAAGCCCTAGTCCGAAAGGCGCTGAGGCCCTAAACTCAAACCTTGAACCCTCATTCGGAAGCCGTAAGGCCTAAACCGCCAAACCCTAAATCCCTAAACCCCTAAACCCCTGAACCCCTAAACCCCTGAACCCCTAAACCCCTTAACCCGAAGACCAAACCCTAGGCCCAAGTCGCCCATAGTCGCCCTGAAACCTAAACCCACACGCAAGCCTTGATCCGAAATCCCTAACCCTTAGGTTCAGGGTTTACGGGGTTACGGGGTTTAGGGGTTTATGGTTTAAGGGTTTTTAGGGTTTAAGGTTTAGGGGGTTTTAGGGTTTAGGGGTTTAAGGGTTTAGGGTTTAGGGGTTTAGGGCTAAGGGTTTAAAGGTTTAGGGTTTAGGGGTTCAGGGGTTTAGGGTTTAGGGGTTTCGGGGTTTGGGGGTTTAGGGTTTAAGGCCTTAAACCCAAACCCTAAGCCCAAAAACCTAAACCCGAAACGCTACGCCGGAACCCGACACCGCAAGCCCGCAACCCGCAACCCTGACCCAGAGGCTCTGGATGCCGGATTTGCACGTTGAGATATGTTGAGGAGTTTAGGGGTGTAAGGTTCAGGGATCGTGCCATGGGAGCATGAATATTGAATGGAACCTGAAAGCAGCCTCAAATTATTCAACCGCCCCCGGCTGTCCCCAAAGCCTGTTTGTTACATAGGCAGCTGTCTCCAAGTTCCTCAAGCCTGCTCTGTTCCTTAATCAACCAGGCGACCCAGATCGAATTAACATTTTCGGGACAAGCCACAACTACACCCTGATATCTGTGGGTGCATAAGTCGAGCCCTAGTGTGTTGCAGTTGATTAAAGCTGTCCAGGCGTTCCAAGAAGTATACGGCCGCAATTAACTCGAGTAGGTTTGGGGTGCATTTCATACTACCAATGTAGGAACAGGATGCTAGTAGTTAGTATTTATTCAAACTCTTGCAGCCGTGGGCCTGAACAGCGAATGAGGAGCTTACTTTTCAGGCTAATTTAAGGGGCCAGAGGATTGAGGTTCCGGGCGTAGGTTGATGCAGTTCAGGGCTTAAGGCTTGAGGACCAGCTCGTTGTTCGTCATGCCTTGCTATACGGGTGCCTCGGAAAGCAACGGGACCCTAATGAATCTTGAGTCGTATTCTGACCCTTCTTTCACGGACCCCTAATGTAGAGTGCCCCCATTTGTCCGAACCCTCCGCACGAAGTCTACGACCCTAAGCCCTCTACGTAATAGGAAACTCCTAGAACCTACCGTTCCATCATCAAGGTTGCCGCAAACTCGCGAACTCAGGCGGCCGACTTCGCGGAGTAATGCGATTCATTGCCTTGGCTCGACTCCAAAGCTGTCTTTTGCCAGGGGGGCACCTTCACGCATACCGAGGTGACGGGAAGCCTCGTCGGCTTCGCAACGCCGGCTCCCGGACGACGCTTCGCCCCCCCTTCCCTCTGAACTCAGAGAAGGTCGGAACTCATCTTCAAGCGCGTCCCACAGGGCCCAGCAGTACACCCAGGGCGAGTCTCTTGCGATCTCTTCGCTCCATGCAGGGCCCTTCGGCCAGAATCCTAGAATCTTCGGCACACCCTGATAGCTAAACCCCCGAAGAAGCCCTCTTTCAGAGTGTTTAGGACAACCTTACAGCCAAAGTTCCGAGTAGATCCCTGCTCTCCAACCCAGACATTAAAGCTGGAAGCTGAACGTAAACCCCCCACAAAAAACTACAACCCTGAAGCCAAGTAAACCCCTACACCCCGGAGCCTAAGTCTCTGAGCCTTCTAAGCCAGAAAAGCCTCAGGAACTAGGCTAACTCCCACAGTAACTCCTAAACCTAAACTCCAAGCCAGAAACCCTTTGAGACAACCTCTGCTCGCCTCTCCAAGGTAGTCTAGCAGCCCAAATTTCCTCAGATGGGCCCACGGTATGGGCGGGGGGGGGAGGGGGGCTCATGTGGTTTTCTAGGGTCTAGTACACATAATTTGACTAGGGCTCTAGGGCTTTTGATGGAGACTAGGAAAAGGGACGGGTCTGACATGTACAGAAGAAGAACGTTGCTGGACAGTTGAAATCGCTCACCAGTTTTATGCTTCTGGGGGTCCGGAGAAAAATCGAAGAGCCTCTTTCGCTTTTAACCAACCACTAGAAGGCCGTGAAGGAGTGCACATGTCAACAATCCTGCCTCCTACGAACCTTGTCGCGTAGGCACAGCCTGGCAAGACCGACCCGCAATGAGGACAACTATGTGCATGTGTGCTTCTCAGCTGGTGCACCGACGGTGGCTAGCTAAGGCTACGCCCAGGTACTGTTAGCATGTTCTTACTATGCTTACTACGATAGTTGCTATTATTCTAGCTATGGGTAGTGTTCATGTTCAACATGGGGTATTATGATTACTGTAGTCATTGCTACATCCGTTGCTATGATTAAATTTATTGTGTTTCTACCCCTTACTATCCATATTATGGGTACTCTGCTTGTTCTTGCTTTTGTCATGGCTTGGAGTTTCTAGGATCTAGGGGTGTGGTTGCGGGCTAGAAGGCTCCGTAACTGAGAAATTGCACAACCCTAAACCCTAAACAATCTTCAATCTTCGGCACTCCTGTGTTGGGCCGGTTTAGGGTTTGGGGGGCTTTAAGGCTTCAGATGTAGAGCTATGAGGGTTGAAGGTTTAGGGTCCTTAAGCCTTAGGATTTCGGGCTTCGGGCTTGAATGTTTAGGTTCAGTTTAAGGAAAGAGCTTCCCTGAGGTCTTAAGTTCAGCTGGAACTAAACACCGAAAGCCAAAAATCGAAACTGCCTTAACAACCCTACCACCCTAGTTCTCCAGAACAAGCAATGTCGGCAATATGTCCATGTGGGCACCCATGCCATAAACAACCTCACCGAAGTTTCCAAAGCTGCACTCGTGACAGCAGGATACACAATCCACCCAGCCCCTCCCCTTCCTCCTCATTTTCCCCAAAAACTATCCCTAAACCCTAAACCCTAACCGGCCATGTTTGCTTGGCCCGCACGCAACAATAACAGCACGCGCAGCCATAAAGGCCCATCTATTGGAATAGGGTTTTGAGCGCTCCATATTGCAAGTGTAGTATCATGTCCCCCAAGCCCTATTCTAATTCTTTGACGGCTCCCGCATAGAACCCTACTATAGATCCACTATAGACCCCTTATAGGACCCCCCAAAGGAACCCTATTCTAAAAGACTAATGCCCCAAATATCACCCTACTATAGATCCCCTATAGCCCGCTTTGAAGGACCCTCAAAGGACCCCTTAAAGGAACCCTATTCTAAAATATAATGGGCCCTTTAAAGGAACCCTAGGCTAACTATATAAGGCCCAGCTGCTAGACCCTAAACCCCAAACCCTAAACCTGAAACCCTAAACCCCTGCTCTAATTATATAAGGCCCAGCCGCCGGAGGCTGCGCTCCAGGCGCTCCCCGACACAAGAGAAGGCGACCTGAATGCCTCTCAGAGCTGCTGGAGTCCCAGTAGGAGAACAAGGTGTAGGGCTTATAGTTTCTTTTTAGGGCTCCTTTTCGTCTGCACGCAGCGAAAGGGCTTATAGGTTTATGGTTTGGGTTTAGGTTTTCTTTTGGAGCTCCATTTTATGCCTGCCCACCTGGTTGAGCTAACATAAAGCCGTCGGCCAGGGGAGGCAACGGGAGACTTACGCTCCCACCGCCTATGAAAAAACCCTATCTCAGACGTCACCTAAACCCTAAACCCCTAAACCCTAAACCCTAAACCCCAAACCCCAAAACCCTAAATCCCAAAACCCTAAACCCTAAACCCAAAACCCTAAACCCTAAACCGCAATCTGTAGGCCAGCCCTCTGCTTCTGATCCCCAGGCCCATGCGTGGCTTAGTCGGCACTATCTGTTGAAGCCCTCGCCGAGTGGTCATCCTCCGCTGAATCCTCTTTTTCCTTGATGTTTAGGTTCCGGGTTTAGGGTTTAGGGTTTGGGTCAAGGGTTAAGGCTGTTAAGGGTTTGGGGTTTAGGGTTTAGGGGTGAGGTTTTGGGTTTTTGGTTTAGTGTTTAAAGTTTAGGGTCTAGGTTTAGGGCTTATGTAAGTTTATGGTTTAGGGTTTGGGATTTAAGGTTCAGGTTTAGGGTCTATTGGTGTGCAAAATACAGCGGCCTTTGTGCTTAGAGTTGTACCAATACGGAACCAAGATAGACGAGTTGCGGGATGTACTTGCCTTGGGGTCCGGAAGGCTTCACATGTCGGTGGTTGGGGAGGGGAGGATCTTAGCGTCAGTGCGACGGAAGTCACGAGATGCGTAGATGTGAACTGTCGCAAGCGCACGATGACGCTGAGTATCTTGAGTACTGCGTGTCTGCTTTCTTACTCCCGCAGTTTGACAACCACTGCAAACAGAGTCAGGCCTTTAATTTATGACGGTTTAGGGTTTAGGGTTAACCCTAAACCCTAAACCCCTAAACCGGACAAAGGCACCCGGGGTAGCTCGGGTACGGCGTCGGAGCCGAGCCGCCAACCGAAGGACTTCGTGCTCTTGTGCTGGTGTCCAGACAGGACCCATTGCTGCCAAGGCGCGGTCGACCTGTCCGGCGGTAGACTCGGATGGCCGTTCCACCAAAATGTCTTTCATTTCTCGGACCGTGACCGCAATGTCCTCGTCGAGGCGTTGACCGATGGCCCGTACCTGGGTCGTGTTGGCTGAGCTGACCAAATCATTGTTGCAGGGCCGTGGATAAATCTGCCTTTGCTCTCACATTTCCCGCAAGCCGTTTTGCCAGCTTCTTGGTCAACTTGCGTTCAGCGGATCTCCGACACCTGCAACAGATCGATTGCATGATCCGTATATACCAGGGCCCACCTTCTCGAAACAAGCTTTACGTGAAATCCCTCACCCACCCACCCCAAAAGGAGGCACTTTGCCCATCTCTGCCGAAGGCCACAAAGTCCATCCCCGAGTGAAGCCCTGTTGTGAGGGTGATGATGACAGTTTTGCGAAGCTTAGGGTGGAGGTTTCGGAATTTTCCAGTAGTGCTGCGGGCGTAAGGCTCAGGATGCTCATCTGGCTTGAAAGGGTAGTGTGGGCTTTGGGGCTTAGGGTTTTAGGGTTTGGGTTTCAGGGGTTCCGGGATTTAGGGTTTTTGGGGTCTGGGAGTTTGAAGTGTAGCGCTGGGGCTTAGGAGTTTAAAGATTTCGTTTAGGTTTTGCGGGTTTGGAGGGGCGGCGCGGATTTCTTCAGAGTGGCCCAGCTGGCTCTGCCGAGCTGAAACCCTGAATCCTTCCAAAGCTTTCGACCAATGCAATCTTGAATCCTTGAAGCCCTTCAGGGCGCAGTCCCCAAAGCCTAAACTCCCTAATGCCTAAACCCTAATAAGTTCAAACCAGACACCTGAGACCCTAAACCCTAAACTCCTAAACCCTATAACCTAAAACTCAAAACCTCGGCCTAAATTCAAACCAGACCCCTGAGATTTAAACCCTAAACCCTAGACCCCAAAACTCAAAACCTCGCGAGGAGGGTTCCGTCGAAAAGGTTTGGTCCGCCTTGCGACCGGAAGTCGTGGATGACGCTGTGAAGCGCCTGCCAAAAGGCGACAGCGTGACGGGATTCCAAGGGCAATAGGAGGGACCCTTAATAAGGACCCCTAGGTATGTACACTATAACATAGCTATTATATAGCCCATTGAAGGGTAGGGGTCCCCATTAAGGGTCCCTCCTTTTCCCCTTTTTGAGGGATGAAGGGTTGGAGCTGCGGGGCTGTAGCTTATTAGCCCTAATTCAGAAATATACCTTAAACTATAATAGGGATCCTACCATAATTTAAGGCATATTCCTTAAGGGGTATGGTTCCTACTTGTCGGGTATCATTTAGAAGGGGCCCCCACCCGGTAATAGTGTGGGGTTCAGGGTTTAGGGTTTAGAGTTTTAGGGTTTAGGGTTTAGGCTTGAGGGATCCCTTAGAAGGGGCCCCCACCAAGTAATAGTGACTGCGACGACTTACTTACTACTACGACCTAGGAAGCGATACCATCTATCGGGGCGACACATGCCGTTGCCATGTTCATCTGATTCAGCCATCTCCTGATTGTTTTCATAGTATCTCAGATTGTTGGTAGTTTGGGCATGTTTGGCACTGCCGCTTTGGAATTTGAGGGTATCTGTGGGGCGATGGTTGCACATCTCGAGCTGTCAAATTGCAGCCAGGGCCGAACAAACACCCAAAGTCAAGCTGCCCAAATGCCGCAGGGCTCAAACACACCTAAAATCGTGGTATGTTTGAAACCATTGGCCTGCTCTGATCACTTGGATATTTTTTGAGCCTGATGATGTGTTGGAAACCTGCCACGGATCCCAACTCCCACGATCCATCTTGGATCATGCGGGGTGGTTTGGGGGGTGGGGGTGCGAGGGTGTGTGTGAGCAGCGAGAGAGTGAGAGAGATTAGAAACAACGTCTAGGTACATACAGCTAGATAAGAAGATATTTAGATAGGTAAAGAGACAGGCTTATAGACGGATAGACTGAAAGACTGATCGACGGGTGGATCGATAGATGGTTAGATAGCTAGGTGGGTAGGTTGTGTGTGGGTCGGAGGTAAGCAGGTACGTAGGTAGATGGAAGGAAAGACGGGCTGACAGACTTAAAGGCTGATGAAACTGAAGCACTGCTAGATAGCTAGCTAGCTAGCTTGCCGGATAGAATGATAGAAAGATGGATAGATAGATGGGTAGATAGGTAGATAGGTAGATGGAAGAGCAGATACATAAGCAGGTTGATAGTTAGTAAGATCTACAGCAAGATAAATAGGCAGATTGACAGCTAGATAGATAGACAGATACACAGATAGATGAGATATGTGCATGTCTACATGTCGTGATGGGCGGTGACGAATGCACAACTCAGTTACATGCACATATCTACGTATTCAACTATGTACGTGCAGACCAAGGACTGAAGTAACCTTAGATCGATCGCATTTTCAATGGCATCTCATCGTACCAGATCCTAACCTTAACCCGGAGTAACCTACCTTTTTAGGGACTTACATAAGGAAATCATAATAGGGAACCCTAAAAAGGTAGGTGATTCAGGGTTACGGAAAACCCTAAACTGACTAATCCGGCCCCCAAAAGCAATGCTCTGAAGAGCTGAGCCGACGCTCCTAACTAACTGCTGGATGCCTCTCAAAGGGAAAAAGGAGGGACCCTTGATGGGGACCCCTACCCAATAATGAGCTATATAATGGGTATATAATAGTTATATTAAGGGTATATACCTAGGGGTCCTTATTAAGGGTCCCTCCTTTTACCCTTGGAGCCTCCATTGCCGAGTAGTCCGCGGTGACAACCGGTGTGAAGTCTAAGACCAAGTATCTGACTTCGCCTGTGCAAAACTCAGCTGACATGGCTACAGCACACCAATCCTGAGTTGCACATCTATATAAATCCAAAGCTCATGAACACCAAATGCTCAGACCAGAGTATAACCTATGGTGAGGGATGTGAGGCTGCTGGCGATCACAAACACAGAGTTAGGGAGGTCGCATCGCACAGGATTGCCTGTCACCATCATAGCAAACATGTACGGGCGACGACAAGTTGTCGGTAAGAGCTTCACCGTGTTTCTGCAAATGCCGTCAGAAGAACACTTGCCGAGAAAGTAGAACACGACTCTGAAACCAGAACATGTCACACTATCCGCAAACCGAAGCAAAACCAACACCCTGCATCCGCAACGGATGCAACCAAGATGCAAATTGCTTTCTCCATCATACTACGAAATCGAAGTGCTGGTAGACGGGCAAGCACCGGCCGCAGCCCAAACTGTTACAGAGTTACATCCCAGCGCAATCTCGCTGGCCTATCGAACTGCCAAGAGATCGCTGGGGCTCTGCATGATCTCTACTGAGCCATGTAACATCTCCTCCCCACTCCTCGCAGTCGAAAGCCCTGAACCCCACGCCTTAAACTCCAAACTGCCAAACGAATAAAAATGGAATCTTCCCTGGCGAACCAATTTCTGTGACACGGGAGCCTTAATTGTAGGGGGTCTTCCAGGTATATTGCAGGAACTGTAGTAGTTTCAATCTCATCGGGGCTACAGTTACAGCGGAACATGAATTGTAGAAGCCATGTTTCATCCCCTTATACATACCTATTCTGGTTGTGATGTATTCTTCTGTGCTTCGCCGACTCGGGTGCATCTGTGCGTCTTTGTGGCCCTGGCAAGATAATCGCATGACCACATAAATATGTATACACACATATATATATATATATATATATATACACATGTATATAAACACCCAGCCAAAATCATAGTACTAAAGCTAGCATTAACCATCATGATGCTGATCGTAACGTCATGGCTTCGTGAGATGATGCGACCGTCGCACATTCGTCACCCACCACTTGTACCTTCCTCGCCACCATCAGGTCACTGATCTTCTTTTCGTACCATCACCGTCTTTAGCCTTACCGTCATGCCAGTCATCATTGATACAGATAGAACCTCGTGCCATGGTCCCTGCGCAACCTGTTGCTCATGAGGGTGACCGTGCGTCATTGTTATCATGCTAGATGCTGCCGACGACGATTACGGAGGCATAAGCTTGGGGCTATTGGCATCGGGGAACATGGGGACATGATTCACTAGCACAGTGTCTTGAGGCCTTATATGCCAGAAAAAATGTGGGGGCTAAACTATCTATACTAAGGCTACTAAGCATCTTGCCAGGTCACTTATGTCGCGCATGTCCTTGGATGGTCGCTTAAAACCGGGGGCACCCGTGCAAAGCTGCGTCGGCTTGATGTTGAAAAAAAGCTCGAGCTTTCTGTCAAAAGGAGCCCTCAATGAGACACCTGGACTTCGGGAAACAACTGAACCTTCCATCGACTGTCTGACCCTGGCAAAGAGGGGAAGAGGGGTCTGGGCTTTGCCGTGGCTCTCACACAGAGGTAACTGCTACTCTGAACTCTGAACCCGAGCCCCAAACCCGAAAGGCTAACCCTAAGCATGCTCCCATAGTGGCTTCCGGAATCCCGAGCCCTAATATAGGGGCCTTGAAAATAGGCTTATAATAAGGAACCCACCAAAAATAGTATAGGCTTATAATAAGGAACCCCCCAAAATAGCATAGGTAATTCTCTTGAGGCCACGATATTCAACTCTCATCCAGCCGAGTCTCTGAAATTAGCGTGGACAGCGTCTCCTCGACGTATGCAACATTGGCAAAGTACAAGGAACCGCCAATCCGGACCTCAGGCTACAGTAGGCTTTGTAAAGCGATCGTTCAAGGCTTTTTTCAGATGGATTCTTTTTGGGCTAAAGGTTCTATAAGGGTGCAGAAGCGTTTTGGGGCATATTGCAGAAAAAGATCTTACTATCCAGAGTAAGGCTTCTTTCAGACGAGTTCTTCTTGGGCTAAGCCCCCCCAAAAATCTCAGCGTTTCGTAACGAGGGGTCTTGAAGTCGGGATGGACAAGGGACGCAAAACCAAAACCCTGAGAGCAAGGAGCTCCAAGCCCGCCGGTTTTTTGTGACGATGATGCTGGTGTTGCTGTTGATGACCACAATGAGAATGAAGACGAGGATGCTAAACATTAGCACGATGATGAGTAGGATGTTAGAGAATGCTGTCGAGCGCGATGACGATTTTGGTTTTATGCTGTGGATAGTGCGTGGCATTGGTATGATACTGTTGTCCCTGATGGTAGCGGCTGATATCGATGGGGCGGCTGCAGTGATGATAATGCCTGTATTGATGACTGCGATGGGCAATGAACTCGCTGTGAACATCAGGATCACCATCCTGGTCAACATCATCGTCATCACCAGCCCACAGTTTCATTTCTTCCATGATGTCACGGCCATCATCTTCACCACGATTTTGATCATCATCAAACACTCGAGGTCGTGCATGGTCCAAAACATCTGAGGCCGTTGAAGCGCCTGATAACCGCCGGAGCCCAACATCCACAGGCATCTTTTGACGAACATCCCCAACACACATATCCGTTTTCTAGCTTGGCCATTTGAAGCCTTCGACAAAGATTCCAAAATAAGATCCTCTTCGGCCCAATAAGGAAAAACTTAGCATGTGCCAAAGACCCAGCTAGTATACAAATTGTGAACCCTAGGCCAAACCAGGGCCGGGCTGCTATGAAAATGCCATTCATGAAGGCTCCCTCCGGGGCCTGCTGAATGTTCCGGTAGCCTTGACTCGCAGGGTCTTGGGTTTTTTGGGGGTTCAGATTTTTGGGGGTGAAGGGTTGGAAGAGCTGTATTTATGGGTGTACAAACGTTCAGAATAAGTTGGGGTACAGCATGTCGGATTTTAGTGCAGGAAGTCAAGCGCCACATGCCAAACCCTGCGGCCTAAACCAACAGAAACACTGCAATCACCACAATCTAACACCCTAGCTGAGACAGGAAGGGCTTTGTGATCTTTCCATTCTCACAAGCTTATTTACAACTGCAGGAATGCTAACGAACCAAGCACGGTTCCTAGCGCACCATGCATCGAATCTATCAGCCGGCCAGCTGTACGTATACTGCTCTACCCATTGGCTGTAGCCAAGAGGTCATATTTACGTACATGCACAGAAAAAGCCGACCGCCTTCCACCCCCATCGCGAATGCAGATAAGCAGCCAGCTTGAAAACGCCGAATTAAACCCAGATCCAAATCCAAAACCCTCTCAACCCTAAACCCCCAAATCCTAAACCCAGAAATCCTGAAGCCCAAACTCCGAACCCTAAACCCTGAACTCCTAACACTCTGAACCCTCAAACCCTCGGCCTGAACCCCAAAGCCAGCCCGAAACCCTAAACCCAAAACCCTAAACCCTAAACCCCAAGAAACCCTAAACCCTAAACCCCAAGAAACTCTAAACCCTAAACCCTAAGAAACTCTAAACCCTAAACCCCAAGAAACCCTAAACCCTAAACCCTAAGAAACTCTAAACCCTAAACCCCAAGAAACCCTAAACCCTAAACCCTAAGAAACTCTAAACCCTAAACCCTAAGAAACTCTAAACCCTAAACCCCAAGAAACCCTAAACCCTAAACCCTAAGAAACTCTAAACCCTAAACCCTAAGAAACCCTAAACCCTAAACCCTAAGAAACTCTAAACCCTAAACCCCAAGAAACCCTAAACCCTAAACCCCAAGAAACCCTAAACCCTAAACCCTAAGAAACTCTAAACCCTAAACCCTAAGAAACCCTAAACCCTAAACCCTAAGAAACTCTAAACCCTAAACCCTAAGAAACCCTAAACCCTAAACCCCAAGAAACCCTAAACCCTAAACCCTAAGAAACTCTAAACCCTAAACCCTAAGAAACTCTAAACCCTAAACCCCAAGAAACCCTAAACCCTAAACCCTAAGAAACTCTAAACCCTAAACCCTAAGAAACCCTAAACCCTAAACCCTAAGAAACCCTCTAAACCCTAAACCCCAAGAAACCCTAAACCCTAAACCCTAAGAAACTCTAAACCCTAAACCCTAAGAAACTCTAAACCCTAAACCCTAAGAAACCCTAAACCCTAAAAAGCCCTCCCTTTCAGTCCAAGGATCTGTTTGTGCCTTCGACACGCCAGAGCACCCTCGGTTCCCGTTGCACAATAGGTAGGTTTGGGGCTTGGGGTTTAGGGGTTTAAGGGTTAAGTTGGTTTTTTCAGGGATTCGTTTTTTTAAATAATAAAAAGGGTTTAGGGTGTAGGGGGTACATCGGCGCACCTGGTGGGTGTGAAGGTCGAGATAGCTAGATACGCAGATACGACGACGTGGCTAGGTAAGCAGATGGGTAGAAACATTGACATGGAGGGATGGACGGATGATTAGATGGGCAGATAGATTTTTCGGGAGGTAGATAGATAGGCAGACAGATGGACAGATGGAGACAACGAGAGACAAGTAGATAGAGAGATAGACAGATAGATAGGTAGATAGATAGGGAGCTGAGGTGGGCACGCACGCAGAGACTTACACTGCTGTACTTTACTAGACCGATAGCAGATGAGTCATGACGGCTTCTTTACTCCAGAAGCATATTTTCGCAATACGACTTTGTTCTGCAAGCTGAACCCGGAATCCCCAAGTTGGAGTTTCCAAACCCCTTCTGAATCCAAGCAGCTGAATTGGCGGATGGATGGACTCGTAAATCACGATTAGCAAGGAAAGCCTCAATCGGCGTTCCAAGGGCGGAAAGGTCTTGTTCGAGGGCTTCCTTAAAAGGTTCCTTGAAGGGCTCCTTTGAGGCTTCTATCAGGGTTCGCCAAGGTTTCATGGTTCCAGGAATTCGGCTCACTACCAGAGTGTCCCAACAAGTAGGGCATCAAACACTGTTCATGCCCGGGCCAAAGCGGTCGAAACCCTCCCACAAAGACAAAAAGGCCCTGTATATAACGAGCCAACCGGCGTGTGCTTTTGATGGGTCGGAAGTTTTATAGGAGATCGACAAGGACCGTACAGTGGATGCACGAGTGGAGTGACCAACGGCGCAAACTTATAATAATTTTATATCAGTCTGCACCAGGCATGTATGATTCTATGCCGCCTCCACGTGAGGGTGATCTTCTGATGTAGGAACCTGATTAAGAAACCCTGGGCCTAGAGGGCCTAGAACCCCAAAACAGGAGGATTCATAAAAGGAACCCCAATAAAGGCCCAAGGTTTCTTAATCAGGTTCCTACATTAGGGCTTTCGTGAGCACCCCTCACACAAACAGCTCCCGCTCCGAAACCTCGGGATAACCCCCCCAAAGAGTCTGGAGCCTCGAAACTCTGCAACCTATAAGTTGAATCTCTACCTGATGTAGTAGCCTCAAGAGATACACTGGGGCTTGGAGGTAGAGTTTAGAAAAGCCCTAAGGAATTATTATATATAGAATTTTGCAAAACCTCATATTACAGCCTCAGACGCCATACCAGCCGGGAGGCAGTGCAGCTAAGCTGATACCCAAGCGCGGACCCACGCAGAGCGTGCCGATCATCGCCGTCTGGGCAGTGAGAAGCACAATTCTACCCATAGGCCCCGTAGTAGTTCCTTCTTGGGACTACATTATAGAATTCTAAATATGAGCGCAAAAGGGAGCTACTTTGGGGCCTTTGGGTAGGGCTTAGGAAAGTACCGTCTTCCTAGGAAAGTCCATGTTTCCAAAGTCAAGAGATTCAACGACTCGGTAGTTAACAGGGGAGTTTCCGAAAGTAAGGGACCCTAATATAGTACCCCAAAAATGACCCTTATAAGGACCCTAAGGATAAGGTACCCCTAATTTTCGGAAACTCCCATATAGGACCCCCAGGATTGTTCCAAGCCGTAGACCTTGGGATTTCCCCCAGCCAGGAACCCAAAGACTCCAATATCCCTCAATTAAGGGTTATACCTTAAATCATATTCAGGATCCTACCATAATTTAAGGAATATTCCTTAATTATGGGGTATTGGAGTCTCTGGGAAGGATGATAGGTTAGCGTGCACATGACAGTGAGTGAAACGGAAATCTGGGCGCCGGACCATCCACATGGTAAAGTCGGCCTTCTTGACTCGATACCTCACTGGGCTCAGGGTTCCCAGAGAGCCCAATACCCCTTAATTAAGGCATATGCCTTAAACTATAAGGGGACTCATATTATGACTTTAAGCTATAGTCCTTAATTAATAGGTATTGGGCTCTCTGGGCTTCTGCAGTTTTAGGTCCATGGCTGTGATGTTCCTGCACCCTCGCGAGACTTTCTGGCTTCTATTGTAACCGGGGCCTCAACATGTTGATAGGGTCTTTGCTGAGGGCCAAGCAGGTTCATGGCCACATCATAAGCCACGAGCTTCGAGACTGAGCCTTGGGTAAGGGGCATTTTCGAGAATCAGGGTTTGCTTTTTTTGATCACCTTTTTCCAACTGCAAGAGAGGAATCCCGGTTGAGAAAGCGTCTTTGCAACCCTCTGGCTTATCGCAGGTTTCACTTTGGTCCGGCACACCCTCAAGATCATCTTCACCTTCTGGTTCAGCATCCGACCCTGTTGCATCCATCAGCGTACCCTGCATCCCTGCCACCACGACATCATCACCGGTTTAGGGGTTAGGGTTTATTGAAGACGCTACTGCCCCAACACCCGACCCATGCACTGGCATATTCCCTCCATGCAGAGGGCAAACAGACATTTCTGCAAGGCGTCTCCGAATTAAGCCTTGTTAGCTGTCGGGTCAGCAATTTAGGCGTTGGGTCGGATGTTGGCTTTAATTTCGCTTGGATGCCACAAGGCTTCAGAGGCTTTTCAGAATAGGAAGGGGCTGCTCGGAGCAAGTATGGTTACCAAAGCTTACAGATATGGCTTGGCCGTTGGACGCAAGGATTGCCGACATGAATGCTGTTGCTTGTGCCTAAGACTTGGCCGCTCGGCGTACTTCTTCGTTTGTTGGCATCTTTGGTGCACAATACTAGCTGTGTCCGTTGGTGAAATAGCTAACAGGAAGGTCTTCGTGAACTCAGTTTCACAGACCCCAAGCTATGTCTCTGTAGCTGAGCGCGGTTCGGCTGTCCGGCTGAAGCGGAAAGACAACTCCATAAGATACGGAAATAGGAGTGCACAACCCTAAACCCACAACCCTAAACCCTAACCCCCCCTGAGTTCGTGCTCTTCATGATAGAAATCCCAGCGCTAGTGGCTCAACAAGCTGTGCCTTGAAGGCTCCGGGTGTTTTGAAACTTTTCGACTATTACTATTACTTTAATGAATATTACTACCATTAGTTATCTTTATTAATATGACTACTACTATTATTAGTTAGTTACCATAATACTATCAATCATTGTTTATACCATTTACGATCGGTAATGTCGCTATTTTCGTTCGTTAGGGCTTCAGGGTCTCTGGAGACCCCGGCTCACGACTATGGCGGCCAGGGCGAACTTCGGCAGGTAGTAGAAGAGCCTTAGGTAGGTGCAGCGCGCGGGCTTTTCGGAGATCAAGGCTCAATTTCTGCACAGATGTGTCTTTCTGATTAGGTTCTCTCTGTGTTTTGTCTCCGTTTCTTCATATCTAGCTCTGAAAAAGATGGTTCAGGAAGGAGATGTACTGCTCAAGAAGTTTCTGACACTTTGGCAGCCGACTGGAACCGAAGGTGCTTCAATCCTCGCGATTCGTCTAGGGTCGGCGTTTAGAGATGTGCAGAACTCTGGCCATTCAGCGTTCGCCGTTGGAGGCCTTCTGTGTGTATGTGGGCCCATACTGCGGCTAGATGAGTTTAGTGTACCTTTTTTCTTTTATCGCTCCTTTTCTCATGCAACACAACGTCACCGGGGAAGTTTAGTGTACCTTTAGGGCTTAGGGCTTCAGCCGACCTTTTCCGGTTTGTGGTTCTCCAGCCCGATATGAATCCTTGGCTCCTAGCAGCTCACATAAAGCAATTTCTGAGAAGTTCGTCCAAAGCCCAAAATCCCGGCCTAAGGGTTCATTTGGGAGTGAAGACCCAGAGACTCCAATATCCCTTAATTAAGGAATATTCCTTAAATTATGGTATAGTAGGATCCTTAATATGATTTAAGGAATATTCCTTAATTAAGGGATATTGGAGTCTCTGGGTGAAGACTTCTTTTGAATGAGGCTGCAGGACCCTCAGCATCCTGACTTAACCCCAAACCGGGGCGACGCACTACACACGGGAGCTTCCGAAAATCTAGAACCCTTATAGACCCCCTTAAGGAACCCTTCGAGATCCCGTTTTAATGGAGCCCTAAAAAAGAAACTGCCCAGAACTGTCTGGGCCCGGAGCGGCGTGAGGTAGAGCAGCGCAAGGAAAGACAGGGAAGCTGGCGGGCAGCAGGTTTAGGAGCTTGGGCTGTGCAGGATCTAAGTCCTTCGAACCCAAAGAGCCCAATTACCCCTTAATTAAGGAATAGAAGGGGACGCATAAAAAGATTTAAGCTATATTCCTTAATTGAAGGGTATTGTGCTCTCTGGGAAATCGATGGTTAACGGAGCTGAACTCTTGAAGGGAGGTTAACATTAGGGTCGTTTGGAATGTTTCGGGCCTCACTGAGCAACGGAGGCACTGGGTGACTGGCGTGCCTTCTGGTGCGTTGGCAGGTTTCACTTAGGCTCTTTCGGAATTTGCTCCTAGGCCCAGAGGGGCCAGCGGTGCAGGGAGCCTACAAGCGCGGGCTAGGTTTTCGGCTTGTGGACACCATGGTGCAAGGATTCAGGAGCTGTTGGGCTATTATTAGCTTTTCGACGATTTCGGGTCTAGGATATTGGAAGAGACCACTTGTACTAGGATCATCCTGTGCAGGTCTGGTGTTTACGGAAACGGGTCAGCCTGAACCACATGCAATAACTGCCCAAGCCCACAAACTAGACAGAAATTGCTACAACCCAATGCCACCCAGTACTACACTTCAGCTCTCCTGTCGCCCCATCCCACCCAAAACAATTGAATCAATGGACCCTCAACCCTTACTAGCAGTAATTCTGTGGAGCCTCGCCTGCCGTCACCCCTGACAATTGCGACTTGCCGCCCGTGGAGTTGCACCTTAGCTGATCGTCTGTGCTCATGGCTTGACCTACGCTCCTGAACCCGGAGGGACCAAGGACCCTAGAGTGAGGTTGTCGGTCCCAAATACTACACTCTGCATGAAAACCACCGAGGAGAAGAACGTCTATTCATATGATGGTTTTTAAGCAATAATTAGGGAGTATTGGGCTCTCTGGGCTTCCATTGATCCCGCAACCTGCAAGATCTGTAGTCTTGGAAGACTGAAAAGGATTCTGCTTTTGTATCTGTTTAACAAAACCCTGTTGAATCGAAGAAAGCTCGAACCGCCAAACTTGTGCCCCCACCTCACCACCGAATGAATCCTAAACCATTCCCAACACCAAAACCTACTTTGCCTGAGTCTTACACCATACTCCTGATTCCAAAACTCTACACCGCAAGCCACCAGATCCTAAACCCAAACGCCTAAACTACAAACCCTAACTCTCTTGGCTTTGAACCTCACCTCCACTCAAATATTAATACTAAACCTGCAACCTTCAACCCCCAAGCCCAAACCTACATACCCAAATTCAAGGACCAAACCCTCAACTCAATCGTAAACCCCAACCCCAAACCGAAACCCTCAGCCCTCAAACCTCAACCCTAAACAGCACACCCTGAATCTCAAATTCTGGACTCAATCAAGCTGCACTGCCGAACGAGAGAAGCTACCGGTAGCCTGTGAGATGGTTCGGAGGGTGGAGGGGGGGATTAGTGTTTATGTTTTAGGGCTTTACGTAGGCTTTAGGGTTTTCGGATTTTAGGATTCGGTGGCTCTAGGGTTTTTGAGTTTAGGGTTTTAGGGTGAGTGTTTTAGGGGGTTTAAGCTGTTCGGGCTTAAGGGTGTCGAAGCAAGGATTTAAGGTCCTGGGTTGAAGGGTTAGGGCTCAAGGCATCCAGGGCTTAAGGCAGGATGAATTAAGACCTTCAGGGCTGCAGGGTTTAAGGATTCAGAGAATGTGGGTTGAAGGATCTAGGTTCAGGGTTTGAGGTATTTTTTGGATGAAGGCTGAAGGCGGGAGAGGATTTTGAGTTTAGGGCTAGGTCAGCAACAGAAGGCCTCTGCCAAGCGTTCATGACCGACTGAAACTGTAACATGATTTAGCGTGGCGAGGTCGTCAAACCCACCCAGAGAGCCCAATACCCCTTAATTAAGGAATATAGCTTAAATCTTAATATGAATTCCCTTATAATTGAAGGTATATTCCTTAATTAAGGAGTATTGGGCTCTCTGGGCAGAAGTCCAAATCCTTAGACCAGGAAGCTCCGCGCCCCAAACCACCAAAGCAGCCCGCAAATGCAAATCCAAAAACATTTAGGGTTTGGGGATGTTTGGGGTTTAGGGTTTAGGGGTTTAGTTTCTTTTTTTTTTACACGGCCCTTTTTCGTCTTCGCAGAATCCGAGAAGCGGATCTTCCGCTGGGCGTCTGAAAATAAAGGGTGATTTCCGACTCCTGACCTCGACTCTCGACACTCATTCATCTTCCTCCGAAGGACACCGAAAAGGAGAAGATCCTGAAGCAAAGACCAAAACCGCACAGGAAACTTAAGAAGAAGAAGAAGAAGAAGAACCCGTCACGGACCCGTTAGAACCCCGAGCTAAGCTACCCGTTGGACTGAAACCGAAACCCTGTGTTCAAAAAAGGCCACCCGGAAGCAGAAGATCCCAAAAGGAAGGGGCAAGCCCGGAGAGGAGACCCAAGCAGAAGAACCCTGAAACCTCGTCCACCCCGAAACCCCCGAGCAACCCCTCGATCCCAGGCGCCCTTGCGCAGACCTTCGTTTTGGACCGCGCATCGCGAATTAGGAGCTCTTAGTCAAAATGAAAGTACAGCGTGCAACGGAACCCCCCGAAAGAGAGGGGTTCAGAAAAGCACGCAAATGCAGCCGCACCAAGGCGAATTAAATGAATTCGGCCTGTGCGGAAGTCTAGTCAAACCCTACGTTTAGACACCCCCTAGTTCCGAGTAGTAAACTTAGACTATATGTGCTGCTCCCATCAAACCCTGGCAGCGAAGCTGGGAGAAGATGACCTTTATTCTAGCTGCTTCGTCCTAAACCTCTTGGATGCGAATTCCTCCTAAACAACTACCGTTTAAATCTAAAACACGAAGATAACCCTAGTTATACATCACTTCTCCCAGTCCGACCAGTGGAAGGATGGGGCCGGGGACACAGGCTTGTGCCCATAGGACCGGAACGCTCCCCGCAGAAGTCTGCACTCTTCTCGGGTCAACCAGCCTCGCCACTTTTTGGCGAGTTGCCGGCACAGTTCGCGTCCCGATAGCAAGTGGCCCATGCACTCGGTGGGGCCTTCAATCACTTCCCCACTCCCGGCGGCGTACGCCGCCAACCAAGCCCGCATACCGTGAAACCCGAAGGGCCGCTCCGCAAAGGTCTTCTGGAGGCCTCTAGGGTTTAAGAGCATAAGGAAAAGAGGACTAGCTAAGCAAAAATAGGGTAAATGCAGTGCTAAGACCCCGAGTTTTAGGAACAAGGTGAAGGGAAAACCGTCTATCTCAACTAAACCCACAAGTACTCTATCCCTATCCCTGCTACCTCCGGGGCGGCACCGGACCGTCCGTCGCCACCTTTGCTTTGAGAGGTCGGATTTGTGGAGGTGGTGCGCCTCGCGGGTGCGAAGTAGCACCACACCCGTGCTAGGAAAAACAAAAAGTTAGACCCCTTAGAACCAATCCGGACTAGAAGAAAGAAGAACCCTCAGGACATACAAAGGAAGACGACCCTTAAAAAAGACTGCCGCCAAACCCAGAGCGAGAACCTCGTAAATCGTCTTCCCCTCTTTCGTCTTGCTTTCGTAGAGGGTATACTCGATGTGTGGTCGTCCTGACCCCAAAGACACTAACTACCCTAAAGACCCGGAACCGATCCAGCTAAAGGAACACACCCGAAACTTAAGAAATCCACCCTTCACAAGCTTCGCCCCACGGTCTTCGTCAATCTCATGGATATTAAGTGGGTCACGGTCGTCAACGACTCCACAGTCGAGGCAGATGAGGCGAACCTCCTGTTATCAGGGGAAGGAACTTATCTGGTTCATCATCCGGTGCTTCCTTGGTGGGCCCCTTCACTCGTTCACCTTCATATTCGTTGATCCCCACCATGTCCCGGGTTTAGGGGTTAGGGTTTGGGGTTTAGAGGTTAGGGGTTTGGGGTTTGGGGTTTAGGGTTTAGGGGTTTAGGGTTTAGGGTTTGGGGTTTAGGGTTAAGGGTTTAGGGGTTTAGGGTTTAGTTAGGGTTTAGGGTTTAGTCCAGAACCCCTGAACCCCCACACTGCTTTAGAGCACCCTGCTAGAGAACTTCCGGAACCCCTTGCCTTAACACCCCCCCGCCCCCCTTCCCTTGAGGCACCGGATAGGCCGTGAAGATCGCACCGACCACATTGCAGGCGCCCAGTGCAAGGAGCTCCTCTTGGGAGGGGCTTTTGCGGGCTTTAGAACTCGGGCTTGGGATTTAGGGGTCTGGGGTTTAGGTGGGGGTTTAGGGGTTTAGGGTTTAGGTAGACGTTTAGGGGTCTAGGGTTTAGGTAGGGGTTTAGGGGTTTAGGTAGGGGTCTAAGCTTAGGGGTTTAGGGTTTAGGTAGGGGTTTTGAGGTTGAGGGGCGGGCCCTCGTCAATTCGGATGGGCGCATGGAGGGTTTCAGGAGGCTCATGGAAGGCCCTGCAATGGCTTGATTAACCCATGGCAGAGTTTTACCGGGCTTTGCAGGGGTTTTGAAAACTCTTGCAGAGGTTGTTCAAGTTCAGTATGCTTGGATGCCGGTTAGTAGGTTAATACCCCCGCTAGACTTTCAGTTTCAGGAATACTCCTCAAATAGTTGAAGGATGTTGGAGTATCGGGCTTTCCGTGCACCAGACCTGCCAGGGGCCAGTGAGAGGCCGGTGTCTGGATTTACATCGTTTTCAGGGTCTTGAAGGTTACTCTACGCCTAAGCCGAACCAAGGAAAAGAGCAACATGTGCCATCAGTCCTGGCTCGATTCCACCTGGTAGCCTGAATTCGTCAGCTGGGGGTTCTAGGGCAGATGCAAAGGGGAAAAGGAGGGACCCTTAATGGGGACCCCTAGCTATATAAAAGGTATATAATAGCTATATTAAGGGTATATACCTAGGGGTCCTTATTAAGGGTCCCTCCTTTTACCCTTGGGCAGATGCAAGAATGAATGCAAATACAACAAACTCAGACGTGGATTCTGTGAAGTACTATAGGTTCGACCAAGGTTTTCTTACCAGTACAAGACCGCCCATGTCTCAGCGCGGATGTGCAAACATACATAAACAACACGTAACTGTGTACGTATGTATATGTATATATGTATGCAGGTGCATATGTACATCAGTATGTGTATGCGTATGTGTATGTGTATGTACGTATGTGTATGAGCACGTATGCAATTATGTATGTATGTATGTATGCATGCATGTATGTCTCTGTGTGTATGTATGTATGTATGTATGTATGCACGTGAGTAGCCATGTATGTGAGAAACGTGAATACACTAAACAAGTACGACGGAATCAGAAAGAACGAACGGGGGACAGCACTAACTAAACAACGCAAACAGGTAAGGATTTTAGAGCAAATGTCGGCAGGCACAGCGGCTCTGCAGGAGTCTTGCTTCGAATTGCTCAACAGATAACGCCCTGTGTTCACGAACCTTTAACGAAGGACACCTCTGGGGGTTGGGATAAGAGAGTTTCAGAGAAGAGGGAACCCCTGACTTAACATACACTTTAAACTAAAAAATACTTGATACTGTGAGCATGGCCCCCGGCCCCCCACAGGGCCCCCCAACCCTCCCCTCTTTCAAGAATCGCAGTGGAAATGGAGTCTGGAGACAGGCCAAGGAACCGTGCTGCTTCGCCAGGTTCTGTGCAGTCGCAAACGCTTCCAAGAAGCCTTCAGGAGATCTTCTGGGTTTAGAGTATAGAGGACAGGTTCTTTAGCGTTTTTTGCATAACTGGGTTGCAGCTTTGGGGCTTTGAAAAGTATGCATGAATAGGTACCTCTACAAGAACCATCAGGACAGTTTTAAAGTTTCTCAAAGTGCCATCTAGATAACACCACCCTGAACAGTACAATCCGGATCCGCGCGGCGGCTCCGGACCGGGTTTCTCCACGTAGGGTACTTCGGAGGCCTTGGGGCCGTACTGCTTCGAAGAAGGCTTTGGGGGGAATTGCTTTAATCATGGTATAATCTACTACCCCAATAAGCCACGGAAGTAAGAGGTTAAACTTTCCGATTCCTACAAAACCAAAAAAACCCAAAAAGTTAAAAGGTTAGGTATTGGGGATCTAAGTAATTATGACAAGCAGCCCTGAGGAACAGAAGTGGTAATTGTGAACCTCAGGGAATCTCGACATCTGGCCCCAAAAGCCCCAACCCTGCGACCTCGAACCTCTACACCCCCCAATGCGCGGAGACTCATAAAACTCTCAAGCCCAGACCCCCAAACACGGTCCAGACAGCCCCGATTTCGAGGACTGCTGGATCCCTGAAGCCTCTAGTAAACCCCATAAAGTTGGAAACCCGATTAAGGCCAAATAGTGCTGGGATTCCCAATTACTCTTAAGGATTGAGGCTATTGGGCTCCCAACTTTGGGGCTTCTACTGTAAACCCTGAATCCGATGTTGAGGCCGTGGCCAAGGAAGCCCACCGAGAGCGCCAGAGGCATCGTCTGACCCACGTCATGAGCCGTCCAGGATGACATGATGCCAATGCCTTGGAGATCTGCCCCCACCCTGTAATCGTGACTACAGTATTGTCCCTATATAATCCCTATATAACCCAAAAGGTTAACCTTTAGTTCCCCATGATACCCCAGAAGGGGCCCCCAGTAAGAGTGACTATAAGGACTATATTAGGGCCCTAATATATTCCTAGTATACCACTATTACAGGGTGGGGGCCCCTTCTAACCAATACCTTGGAGATCTGAAGGCTGAAGCCAAGCGTAGGTACTACAGGGGGCCTAAATAATTAGAGTAGGTTCGGGGGTTCCTAACTATAATGACAGTATAATATACCTCCAAACCCTGCTCGAATTATTAAGGCTGCTATATCATAGTACCCTTATAGTAACCTTTATAGGACCCTGTTAAGAAACCCTATTCTTTCTAATTATTAAGGGATTTAGGGTTATTTAGGGCTTCGGGAGAGTGTAGGGCTTTTGGGGCTTTGGTGCAGAGGCCGAATCTGAAACGAGAGTCCCTGCCGTTTGCGCCTCAAGGTCTCGGAATGGGGGCCTTAATAATTCGAATAGTTTTTTTTTTGGGGGGGGTTCCTTGTTCTAGTTCTAATATAATATATGCCCCGAAACCCTGGTTATTCTATTAGCTAAGGCCCCTATATTACCTTTACATCGAGACTTACAGGGCAATTTGAGGCTGCACTGCAGGCTTGCGGAATTTCTTTCGACTTCCGGCCTTGAGGCTGAGGCTTTAGGGGGCTTTAGGGTTCAGGGTGCTTTGTGTCTTATTTGTGTAGCTCCAGTTGGTAAGGAACGAATTGCCATCGGAACGGTGCAACTTTAACTGAAAGCGAAAGGACAAGCTGTACAAATCAATACTGACAACAGACATCGAATCCAGAACCGAAGGCGTAAAGCTCAACACCTGCCAAACGGATTCTGAAGCCCTGAACCCGAAACCCTACTGTCGATCTCTGAAGCCCTACTATCCGATTTTTGAAGCCCCAAACCCCAGCACATCATGTCTGAAACAATTTTCTCATCCTGTTATATAAATCCGGGGCACTGGTCGGGAGAGAGCCACCTGGGACCTCGTGGACGTAATCGAGTCCTGCAGAATAACCCAGGTCTCCCCCTGCGTGTCCAATGCCCGTAGGGTTTAGGGTTTAGGGATAAGTTAAACCTTTTCTATGGGTATACCTTTTATGCGGATGTCGTACCGGCCGTCTGAAGTTTGGGACTCGATTGCTTCAGCCGGCTCTCATGTCGATTCCGAGGATTGGGAGGGACTGGAAATTTCAAGCCTGCAGACATACTCCAACGCAACACCAAAGCCCCAAAAGACCTGATATGCATCAGAGGTACCCACAGAGCGCTTTACCTCATAGATGCAGAACTGGTTGGCTGTATTCGTGCCATGAGCTGTCTGCAAGTCACAAGTCTTTAGTAGCGCCTCAACTTCGCCCTTAAACCTAAACCTTAAGCCTCCTAAACCCCAAACCTACTAAACCCCTTCCGCCCATAAACCATAAAGCCGCAAAAACCGAACCCCGAAAGCCCTTCACAACAGAGATCGGAGCTGTTTGCCATCAATGCGTAGTCCAAAGGCTTCCAGTAGAGCAGAGTTGATGGGCTGCGGATACGAGGGTTTTAGGAGTTTAGGGTTTAGGGTTTTAGGGTTTAGGGTTTAGGGTTTTAGGGTTTTAGGAGTTTAGGAGTTCGGGGCTTTGGGCTTGGGTTTTGGATGGGCTTCGGGTCCATGGTCCTTTGATGTGCTGCAGCGGCTTGCAGAAGTAGATGAGCAGGACGCCTGAGACCTACATGAACTTCTCGCATACATGCATGCAGACAAACGTTCGCACATAAGAGTAGATCCCCTAATATGGGCCCCTATACTACAAAAGGTAGTTTATAGGAACTCCCATTATGGGATCTACTTTTTATGCCATGATCTTTGAGCATCGGCTGTGTGCTGTATTGCTGGAGCGGGAGCTTCGAAGCAGGGCGTTTGGGCTCACAGAAACATCGTCTGAACCCCACTTGGAGGTTCAGGGGGAGTTATATGTGTGGTTATAAGTCCCTTAATATGAGTAATAACTGTAGTTATCCTACTTATAACCCTACTTATATCTAAACATGAACCTCCAAGCACGCCCTCCCAAATCCTCAAGCCCTCAAAACTCCCACACGCCACGACCTCAAGTCAATCCCCCTGCGAAACCCACGGTGGACTCAACCATCCCCCACCCTACACCCGAAATTTTTCTTTATTCCTAAACCCGGAACTCCTGAAACCCTGAACTCCTTAACCCTTTAACCTTAAGCCAAATCCGAAACTGATGGGTTATTAATATGAACCCTAGCATGGGAACCCTCTTCCCCACTAAACCCCCATAGGCTAAAACCCCTTATGGCCTCCTTCTGAGAAACCCAAAGCCCTGTCAGTGCCCTGTCTGGGTGGCCCTGCGCAGCTGATCAGCGGACCCAGGGAACCAACTAGCTTCCAGCGCGGGTAGGCATAGCCGAACCTCGAATTCTCCAGGGTTTAGGGTATCATTGCAAGGCTCATAAGGCGATTTGATGGTTTTTGCAAGAAGGATTTCCAGGGTATAGGGTTCATGGCAGGGCATGTAGGGCTGATAATGGAGTTTAGGGTTTTTCAGGAGAGTTAAGGCTTGATCTTGGGGTCCAGGGTAGGCGTAGCCGAACCTGGAAGTTTCCAGGGTGGAGCGGGTTGAAGGGCAGGGCTTAGGAGGCTCTACCATAGGGTTAAGGTTAAAACATAGTAGGGTTTAGGATTTCCATCACTTGAGATGTAATGGTAGAGGGCTTAGTGTTGAAGGATGGGGTTTAAGGCGTTTTAGCGTGTCGGGCTTGTCATAGCACTTTTTGAGCTGAGGGGCTATATAGTAGGGTTTAGGGTTTGATAGTAGTAGGGTTTTAGGGTTCATAAACGGGTTAAAGGTGTCATGATGTTTTTTTTGTTCTACGGCGGGTTTTGTGCGCGGGACACACAAAGCAAACAGCCAAAAGCGCTTACGGCCTAAACTTGCAAAGCCAGGAGGGTGCAGGCATCTTGGGGTGAGTTAGGATTTGGAGAACCCCAAAACCTAGACTAAAGAGCAAGCCCTACAAGCCTTATGCTACTGCCCCTAAGCCCCAAAACCTAAGCCGCACATGACCACCGAAACCCTGCAGCTTGAACAAGCTGAGCAATCAACCTTGACCCTCCAACATGCGTCAAGCCTTCAAGCTTCGACCCCGAACCTCAACTTCAAACCCAAACATTTAGGGTTTAGGGCTTAGGGGTTTAGGGTTTTAGGGTTAATTTCTGTTGTGTGTGTAAGGGGGGGTTGAGGTTTGGGTTGTTGTGAAGCCTTAAGCACTGAACCCTTGCCCAATTCCAAACCTTCTTGCGCTGCCGTGGAGCTTTCGCAGTGCGACTAGGGTGGCTGTGAACACGAGTCCGAACCTGGGTTCGCAACTGCGGTGATGGCGGGTTTCGGTGTTCAAGTATCTTTAACATGCTTTATGGTCTTAAAATTTTAGGCAGTCCTGCTCCTGATAGCAACATTCGATACGAGGCGGATACTACTTCATGGTAGCGGCTACACGTTGTATATGGTTTGTGCTACAGGATGTATGGGGTTAGGATCAAAGGGAACGAAGTTAGCTAGGTGGCATGCAGCAATAATGGCGGCGCTACTTGCTAGAGTGCCGGTAGTGCCACTCCCGAGCACATTGGCTTGGTCCAATCAGGATTTCAACGTGTGAAGGTTCAAGGTTTTGGGGGAGTGATGCCTGGGCTTTGAAGTGTAGAGACTCAGCGTCCAGGGGGCTGTCTATTTCCAGGTTTATGGATTTGGGGTTTGAAGACGCTTACGGTTCAGTGTCATCCCCCTCATTCACACGCAAAAGGGCAGGGGCCTTAACAACTAGAAGAGGTTTTTGGGGCCCATGATACTATAGTTATAATCAGGAGCCGCCAAAATAGTATCGGTAATTACTGAGGCTCCTATATTACTCATTGTGCTAACGTGGCTATGTCGACTCTACCCAGGGGCCCCAAAGTAGCTCCTTTTTGGGTAGTATATTAGAGTCCCTAATCAAAAAAGAGGACACACCCAAAAAGGAACTACTTTGGGGCCCCTGGGTAGGCTCCGTAGGCATGTCCTGCGGGATGTCAAATCTGGGGCGCTGTTTGTCATGCAACGTACTCGGAGCCACCGAGGGGCCTGAAACCCTAAACCCCACAGTAACCCTAAACCCTAAAGGTTTTCCCAAAGGGTCCTATGTACTGCTACGGGGGATACTTCCCCAAGTCATAATAGTAATTCCTAATATGGAAACCCTACAGTCTACTATATCGGTACATAGGACCCTAAAGGCTTTGCTCCTTCAACCCAAGCTGCGCGAGCGTTATCGGCTGCCCATGCGGGGCATGCTCGATCAGAGACAAGATGCTCAGGATCGGAAATTCCTCGTCAAGGCTTCAAGAGGCTTCAGGTTGAGGAAACCGCTGCAGACTCTGGTCCAGGGCTTTACAAGGAACTCCAGAAAGTTGGAATATGGTTTCATGGTAGGATATCCTATAATTTACCATAGAAGGGTGTAGGATAATCATATTCCAATTTTCTGGCTTCTACTGTAGGATGCTTTGTCGTGCAAGCTGAAGCTCGAAAACCTGCGGAAACCGCGAAACCCTTCAGCCCGAAACTTGCAAGCCCTACCTGCAGCCGCAAACCTTTTCATCTTCATACCTTCAAAGCATTACCTGGATCCCCAAAGTATGTAGAATAATAGCCTTTTATAGGTATTGGGTCATTATTTTTACCTACCTTGGGGGGTTTAGGTAGAAAACCCCACGCCCTGCAGCTCATCAAACTTCAACCCGAACTCTTTTGTCCCGAGCCCGACGCTTTCATGTCATTTGCATCCGGGGAGCCGACTCTTCCACCTGTGATGCCGGGAACTCATTTAGGGTTTAGGATTTAGGGCTTAGGGTTTAGGGGAAATCTTCTAGGCTAACGAGAGATGCATTTGGGAATTAAGTTATTCAAGTTCCGACTTGATTTTGCATGAGTTTGTAGAAAATTTTGGGTAGGGTTTAGGATTCCAGTTAAGGGAGGTTTCGTAAAGCTTCTCAACTTCAGGGTTTAGAGATTGGGGCTGATGGCTAAGCCTTAGTCAGAGAGGCTGGCCCACCGAGACTAGACCTACCCAGGCTTACTATATGAGCAGGAGCTGTCCTGGGGTCACTCTTGAGGCTGCTACAATGACCTTTCAGCACAGGTGGGCTCCTTTTGGGAATTTTAGCAAACAGGATCCTAATACAGGCACTTAGAAGGACCCAGGGAAATGGTAACATACCCACTTTCAAGAACCCCGTGTTCAACACAAGAAATCCTGGGTTTCAAGACCCGCGCTACCAGAATCCACCATTACATCGCAAACCTAGAAGCTCTAAGACGAAAGTCCTGAGCCCTAGCACAGGGGCCCTGATCGTTAGAATGGGATTTTAGGTTACATTACGATATAGTCATGTCTGCACTAGAAGAGCGGGGAACATCAGTACTAGTGATTCCGATCCCCCGCGAAGAACACCGTGAAGCCCTAAAGCCAGTGGAGCCTTCACGCCCAGAAAGTTCTTGAACTGGCTAATCCTCAATCAAGGGATCGTAAGGAGGCTTAGTTGCTTCGGTGGATGATATAAACCCTGCATTACCTTAATGGCCTTAAACTATGGGAATTATGGTATATTCTTTACTATGGGTAATGCAGGATTTATATCATCAACCGTTCTGGCAGTTGGCGGCCCCTGTCTTTCGGGATCCTTATGCCAAAAATCTTGCTATTCAGGGGCCGGTTTTTCGGTTCCTCACTATCCAAGACTCCCACTTCAGAAGCTCTTGCAGGACTGGGTGCAAGTGGAGTATTGGTGTTCGGCATGTAAGGCATGTCGTAACGGCTTGTGGAATGGAGGGCTTTGGCGGATTTGAGTTTGCAGCATGTTGTTGCTTGAACGGCTTACAGAACGGTTAGGGTTTAGAAATTGCCAAATTTTGAATCCTACTAGCAGAGCCAGTTCTGCGCGGGACTTGGGGGTGCCTGGCTTGGTCTGCAGAGCATGACCTTCCAGTTGCCGAATGTCTCAGAGCCTTGTAAGAAACCAAGTAAGCGATTTTCCTGAGCTCCTGATTGCCTGCTCGGCCAGCAACAGCTCTAAGCCCATACAAAGATCCGTAAGCAGAAACTAGCCAAATTTCCGCAAGCGGAAACTAGCCAAAAATCCGCAAGCCGAAACAAGCCTAAACGTAGTGAACCTAAGCCTGAGGCTCTGTTTAGGGTTTAACTGAACCTACACTAGATGCATGTGGGAGTTTCCGAAAACAGGGGACCCTCATATAGTACCCTAAATAGTAGGATCCGTAATATAAGGACTCCAAACTCCCATGTGGATCGGAAACCTAGAAGCCCTACACCCCACACGAAAGCTCCGATGTCGGTCGGGCAGCATGATGATGAGAGCTGACCCGGTGGAAAAGCCGGACACCACCTGCAGTTTAGGGTTTCGGGATGGTCTAGCTATAGTCTACTTTAAACAGTCGATCTGCCCATAGGGAGCTGGCAATTGAGGTCCTGAGGGCCCTGCATTAGAGTGGTCCTCAACCCAAACCCCGACGCCTACCCGCCCAGCTATGCCTCCCTGTCCTGGGTGACCGCTCAGGTTTTGTAGAATTGTAGGACTCTGATGGCCAAAGCGGTCGCCCTAGACCCTGATGAAACAAAAAAACTTCCCTGACCCCAAGCCCAGAGTCACCAATACCCCTTAATTAAGGAATATACCTTAAATTATTGTAGGATCCTTAATATGATTTAAGGAATCTTCCTTAATTAAGGGGTATTGGAGTCTCTGGGAGCATCCAAACCATTCCAAACCCCAAACTAGGGCCCCCAAAAAGCACATAAGCAAAAAAATAGGGTAGGGATATCCCATATACATCCCCTTATAATGAAGCCCAATAAGGTAGGGATATCCCCATAAAATGCTTATGCTTATGTGCTTTTGGGATCCCTAACAAACGGCAGACTCTCGGGAGCGGACGGGATGCCCTAGGAACTTCAGCAGAAAGCCCAGCTGAAGAACCTGCAGAGCGCCCACACCGGAAAGAGGATTGTCTGCTGTTTGTTTAGGGTTTAGGGTTTAGGGTTTTTTGTGGTTAGCTTTAAATGGTTATACGTTTTATGAGGTCTTTACGAAGGTATTATAGCGTTTTACACGAGCTTTACAAGCGTAATCAGGTCAGGCTTCCTTGCGCGTATACGCTTCCGCGTAATTGTTGCTAAAGTCTCACCTTCGTCCCCTGTCGACAACGTCCGACGATGCTGCCTGCAAATCACTTAATTTCGATCAAACTGCAGTCGCATGTTTTGGGTGGCCTATGAGCTGAGGCCAACACCCCAAAACCGTGGGGCTCGACACTTCGGCGGCGGGTGTGGCGAAAGGTGGTGTGTTCGGATATTAAGAACTCCCCACATGCTGAAACGGACAATCACAGTCAGAGGAGAAGCACAGACCATAAAATAAATGCTGTGAAGGAGCGCAGGCAAGCAACAGGACGGATCCCGCCAAAAGCGAGGTCAAGACAGTCTCGGTTGCTCAAGCTTCAGGCTATGAGGTCTTGGCTCGCTAGGGATTGTCGGTTTAAAGGTCGCAGCTTCTGGGTTCGGTTGTAGTCACCTTTACATTTTGCGTTTCAAGCCCTACCTTAACCCCAAATAACTAACCTACCTTTTTTAAGGACTTTTTGAAGGAAACCATAATACGGAGCCCTAACAACAGTCTCAGGTTATTTGGGGGTCCAGGCAAACCCAATCCCAAAACCCTCAAGACGTCGATTGTGATTTCGCAGCACCCTGAACCCTTGAAGAACGGAGATCTCCATTGAACTGCATGTATCCCAGAGACTCCAATATCCCTTAATTAAGGAATATTCCCTAAATCGTATTAGGGGTCCTACTATAACTTAAGGTATATTCCTTAATTAAGGGGTATTGGAGTCTCTGGGAAGTGGTGTAATATAGGAGCCTTATCAATTAGAATAGGGTTGTGGTGGCGTCGCGGCAACCCATGGGCTGGGAATACATTGTTCTCAGGGGTTCTTTCGGGTAATGTAGGAACCATTAGGGTTCCTTTAAAGTGGTCTATAGTAAGGATTACTATAAGAGATACATGAGAGTACTATAAAACATGAAGGAACCTGATTAAGAAACCCTGGGTCTTTCTTAGGGTTCTTAACATGGAACCTACTAGTTTGCGCTTATTTTTGAACGAAGGTTTCTGAATCAGGTTCCTACAGTAGTAGACCGCTGAAGTTCCTCAATAAGGTTCTTGACTTGTTGAGAACCCCCCAGTTAGACTCTAAACCCTAAACCCTCAAAAGGGACGGAACTGCACAGGAGCGGCCACGGCGATGTACTTCTCCTGGCACACCTCTGTGCGCAGCTTCCCGGTACAAGGCTTTGCAGTTTTTGGTCTAGTGGTTGAGGTTTCGGACCGTTTAGGGCTCTAGTCTTGGGCTGAAGTTCTGTGCATTGGCCTTGGGGGGATGGGGTTTAAGAGTCCAGAGCTGGGTCGTTGAGTTTCGCAGTGCAAGAGCGAATCCCAGAGTGTGTCCAAGTGACCTGCAAAACCGTGGGGGGGAGGCACAGCCTAAACCATCGCAGCCTGAGCTTCTTCAGCATAGCTAGGAGGGGCTTTTAAAGCCTTTGAAAAATATTAGTAGGTAAGATCCTCTTAAGCCCAATAAGAGAAAATATAAAATGTCCCGAAGCCCTACCTAGATAGATGCTCCTCCTTACGCGGCTCCATGGAATCTTGTCCTGATTCACTCCGAAGCCCTGAACCCCTAAATGCCCTAAACCCCAAGCCGCAAACCGGAAACCCTAAGCCCCGCACCCTAAACACTCAGGCCCCAAACCCCAAACCCTAAGCCCCACACCCTAAACCCTAAGCCCTAGACCCTAAGCCGCAAACCATCCCCACCTCACTCTGGACGAGAACATCGAAGGCTTCGGCGGTCTCGTTCTTCTTCAGCTCGAACCATTCCGGGCATTGCGCCGCATCCTTGGTCTGTCTTTAGTCTGAGTAGGGAGTAGGGTTCCTTTAAGGGTTACTAGAAGGGCTACTATAAGGGTTATACTATAGGGTTTAGGGTTCTTAGTAGGCTGTCTGGTTCTTAGTAGGGACTGGGGGAATGTGTTATGGTGACTATCTTGGGGGACTATAGAGGGACTACTACAGAGATCCATTCCCCCAATCCCTACTAAGCACCAGACAGATTCTGGGTTTCTGAAAACTCATGGGCACCATGTGCAGACCATAAGGGTCCTACTCTTTGAAGTCTATGCCGGGGTCCAAAAATTAATGATGGAGATTGCGAGCTCACACGACACAGAGTTTGGAGGGTCGTGTGCTGCGAGACGCAATGTGCTGGGCTTCACTGCTACAAAGTATGCAGCAGAAAACGATCCGCACACAATCTTGCGTAGCCCTTACTGTAACATACCTGCACATGCCACTACATTTCGCCTCCGAGACCATGCATCCAAAACTAAGTGCGCGTAAGAACCGAGTATGATCCGAAACAGGAGTCCCCTGAAAGTCGCAACGTGATGTACAGCCCAAAAAGAATCGATACGATGCCACTCTGAAAGGGTTTGATATGTCTGTTGTGTTCTGCTGGAACATACTTCATATGGTTCTCCAAACTAAGGGTCCCAGTTTAGGTTTCCAAAAACAGTACTGTACCTTTGTAACAAGGACCCAAAAGAGAAGCACCCATGGAGATCCTACACTGGCCACTTGTTAACTCCAACCCCAAATGCCGAACCACGGCCTGCATTACAAGTATATACTTCATGCAAAAAAGCTCACGCAGTACTCTGGATAAGACAATAAAGCACCATCCCTTAAAGCACACACCCTATCTCTTAAAACCTTATGCGAGCTTCGAAAAGCGCAACACCTACTTGTAAAACCCAGAATATAGGCGCCTGAATAATTCGATTAGGGTTTTAGGGCCCATAAAACGAAAATTATCATAAGGAGCTGCCTCAAAAGAAGTAAGGCCCCTAGAAATTACTTGTAAAACCCCACAGTGTTCGGAGAGGTTCGAGGCTACCTTCGAGACCGGCGTGGACCAGGAGCGACAACATGGCCACAGGGCCCACCATCAACCTTTCTTAAGATAGTAGGGGTTCAGGGTTTAGGGTTTAAGGTTGGGCATCTATGTCTGGAACAGACTTCTTAAGATAGTAGGGGCATCTATATGGGAGTTTCCGAAAATAGGGGTACCTTATTTTGGGGTCCTTATAATAAGGATCCTACTATTATGGTACCATATTAGGGTCCCCTACGTTCGGAAACTCCCATATCTGGAACAGACTTCCTTGATCTATAAATGAGCCAGAAGGGTTCTGGCATATAGTGGTTTTGATCAATAGAATGGGGTTGGGGGTATATTTTACCTTTTTGCAAGGTACGGAAGCCTGAGGAATAGTTAGGAATTATTCAAGCTTCCATATCTTCTCAGTTGCTGAGTTCATAAGCCCCCCCCAAAACCTACACTTGTAGTTTTATAGTGGGTCATACGAATTTATGTGCCTTGACGGCTTGGGGCATTGGTCTGCTCTCTCTTGCTCGTGCTTTCTTGGTCCTGTAGCTGGCAGGTCTGACGCTCTTTCAAACTCCGTGCCCAGAGACTCCAATATCCCTTAATTATTTAAGGAATACCCCTTAAATGAGAGTAGGATCCCTAATATGATTGCAGGAATATTCCTTCATTAAGGGATATTGGAGTCTCTAGGTGGGATTGGAGGAAATGGGCCATAGGCCGCCTTTTGGTCGGATTCAGGCGGTCAGGCTGCTGAATGTAGGGCCTTACGAAGCAGAATAGGGTTTTGGGGGTTCCTTCTTATAGTTAGAGGATATTATACCCGCAAACCCTATTCTAGTTAAGGCCCCTATAGTAGAATTTTCGGCCCCCTCTGCGACACCATGGTGCGACGCAGGACAAGAAGCTGCTTCTGTCCGGCTCTGCCCTTCTGGTGCTGTGTGGTTGTTCGGTTGATGTCTTAGGTTTGAATAACTTCAATCTTATCAGTGTTACTGACGCTTCTATGAATCGTCGTGTGCAACAGCTGCGTTGAGCTGGTTGCGTTAGCTAAAAAGGGCGACGACAACGTCGGCACGTTGTTCGGTTGTTCGGGCTACAGAAGCTGGAAACTCGTTTTGTTGAACCGGCCCGTGCGCTTGTACTTTGTTTCGATCGTGTGGGGCCTCGAATTGCACTCACCGTGACGATTTGGGGTTTAGGGTTACCTAAAACCCTCCAAGTAGGTAAAATAATGGCCCAATACCTATAAACGGCCATTATTCTACATACTTTGGGGGTCCAGGTAGGGTTTAGCAGTAGCTGCTTGCATTGATCCAAGCCTTGCGGCTCTTTGGCTCCGGCTATTAAAATGCAACCAAAACCTCCGCTTCGCCTCGGACCCTATGCCCAGAACCCTGAAGGCGATCCCAGACCCAAAGAGCCCAAGACCCCTTCATCAGGGAATGTACCTTAAACAATGCAGTCAGGGGATTCATATTATGATTTAAGCTATATTCCCTAATTAAAGGGTATTGGGCTCTCAGGGGAAACCCAGGCCCGAGAAACCCAAAAAGCTTCAACCCTCAGACCCAATGCAGCCGAATTCGTTGAGCAAAGGCTCTGCCGAGACTGACCCAGAAGTGAGTAGATCAGCTGTGGCATGACGAGGGCATACCTTACTTGGAGGGTCGGGGGACTTAGTAAGTAGGTAGTAAGTAGACTTATAAGTACCCTAAAAGGGACCCTAATTGGGGTTATGGTACTTATAAGTCCGTAAAATTTCCAGTTGCTAAGTCCCCCGGCCCTCCAAGTAGGGGATTGGGGCTGAAGATTGTTGGAGGATTGAGGTTCAGAAGTTGGGGTTCAAGGTTTCTGCTTGGATGCAACGGTACTGGACCGGTGTGGTGTAGGGGCCTTAATAGCTAGAATAGGGTTTCAGGGTTTTTGGGGGGTATGTTCTAATACGAATATTAACATAAGAAGGAACCTCACGGAACCCTACTCTAATTAGTTAAGGCTCTCTTATACAGGCCGTGGCTTTTCCCCAGGCTTCCTTTCGTGGTGAACGCATAGCGTCCGGACAGAGGCCGCGACGGACCCCTACGGTTTAGGGGTTTAGGGACCACCTGGTACGATCCCCTGCGCCCCTAATACTGTAAACACCGTACTCACATCACGACTGCGCGTCTTCTCTTCTCAGCTGGTACTCAGAAGCACCATGAAACTCTTCATTGTCATGCATGGCAAAGCGTAGATGACTGTAAACTTGAAGAGCATGGCAGTTTGCCGAACGGCGAAAGTTGGCGTCAACTTGAGACACTTGTAATGCGGCTGCGGACGTCCACGTCTATGCACGACGCCCAAACATCTAAACTAAAACGCGTTGGCTAACGGACACATGGGCAGTTCCCGGAATCAGGGTCGTTTCAGAATCCTAATGAAAGCGATTGATGCAAAGAAAACCCTACTCTAGAGCCACCCGTACGTACTACTACATCACGCTCAGTCCTGCAGCCGCTACGACGGTCTAACTCGTGGCTGGCGGCTAGCTAACTAGGTTCCACCAGTAGCCAAGTTATTATATAATGGCCAGATCAGCTTCGAGATTGTTGGGGTTTCAGGTCAGAACATCGAAAAAACTCAAGCCGCCTAAGTTGAAGGTTCCGCCTCCGCCTGGGTGGTGTCCTCGAGCACCACATGCTGGTTGCGGACAAGCTGCAAGCCGTATTCCTCGTGTCGGGCTCTCATCGTGAGGTGGTCAGAAACCAAGGTTTCGGATTTACTGTTCGGGAACCCCAAAAGGGATCCCAAAAGGAACCCTGAAGGGAACCCCAAAAGGAACCCTGAAGGGAACCCCAAAAGGAACCCTGAAGGGAACCCCAAAAGGAACCCTGAATGGGAGGGGGCTGATTCACTTGTGGCATAAGTTGGGTACGGCCCCCATACAGTAACAGCCTTATATATCTAAATATGATTATTATCCAACTGTTACTGAGTGGGGGCCGTACCCAAGGCATAAGCTAGATCCCTCAGCCGGCATGCTTCGCTTGAAAGGGCCCTCTACGATCGAGTGAGATGTCTGAAGGGCAAAGCAAGTGGGAGTTTCAAAAAAAAAAAAAAAGGGGCCCTTTAAAGGGCTCCTTAAATTAAAGGGATCCATAAGGGTTCCATAAGGGGTTTAGGGTTTAGAGTTTCCAAAAATAGGGGACCCTTACAAAGAAAGCCCAAATAGTAGGATCCTTATTGTAAGGACCCCAAAACAAGGCACACCTAGTTTTCGGAAACTCCCAAGTGGACCCTCACATAAACCCCCAAGTCCAAGATCATCCCTGCAGATCCTGAACCCGGATGCCTTACCCTACCGAAAGAGCAAACCTTAAGCCGTCCCTTTATGAGGGGTCTGTATCAACCCTAACAGCTTTAAGCCGGGCCGTTAGTCTACCAAAATTGGCAAACCACCTGTCTCTAAGGGCCATAATAGCTTCGGATTCTTATTATGCTCCGTATTCAGGGAGGGTTTGGGGGGGTTTACTACTCAGCCCGAGAAACAGACAGATCTCTTTAACCCCTGAACTGGGGCTTCCGCTTCTTTTCGGCTTGTGTTTTTTGGGGTTTAGGGTTTAGGGGGGCATCAAACTTTCTAGGGTTTACCGGAATTGAATCCGAAGCCCCGGAACGGGCCCTCCTGCGTTTATCCTGAGCTTGTGGCGGAAGATCTCGGGTTCAGGGCCGCTTTAGGGTTTAGGGTTTAGGGGGGCAGAAACTGAACCCCACCGTGCCGGATCCTGGATGGAACCCGGCAAGGCCTAGGAGCGTCTACTCCAAACGGGAGGGTCCTTATGCTCCTGTGCCATAGAAACTTGTCCCCTATCCGATCTTCTTCGAATGGCCCTCAACCTTTCATTCAACGGAAAACCTGTCAGGAGTAATTATCACCCCAACCCTAGCCTCAACCCTAGAACCCTAAATCCTAAATCCAGGACCAACTATTGGGTTCTCTGACCTCTGAGCTCATGCCATGGAGCGAAGGGAAGCGCTGCGATGCTAGCGTACGAAAGGCTCTCGGGCACGCCCATCACGCCGACCGTCAGGCCTGGCAGGAAGGTCGAGTGGGTTTCAGGGTTGAGGGTTTATGGCTTCAGGGTTGAGGGTTTTTAGGATTTCGGCTTTATGGCTTCAGGGTTGAGGGTTTCAGTCTTTAATGGCTTCAGGGTTGTGGGTTTTGAGGTTTAGGGTTTGTGCTTTGCGACGCCGGTTTCCCGAAACCCGAAACCTCTAGGGTTTAGGGAAGTCTCAGGAGAAACCAGAGACTGCCTCTAACAGGGGATGGGCTCGATGAACTCGGAACGGCTAATCAGTCACCTAATCAATGGTTTTGGGGTTCCCTTCGCTCTTTGAACTTTAACTCCTTATTCAATAGGGATTCTCATCATCCCTGGCTCCTTAACTCCCCCAATATGGGAGTTTCCGAAACTAGGGGACCCTAATATAGTACCTCAAATAGTAGGATCCTTATTCTGAGGACCACAAAATAAGGTACCCCTAGTTTTCGGAAACTCCCATATCATTAGACGGACCTGTGGTTGCAGCGGTCTGCTCCCGAACTCTGACTGATTAACTGCCAGGCCGGGGCGCTACTCTAGGGGCCTAAATAGTTACCAATACTATCTTGGGGGTTCCGTATTACAACTATGGTATAATGGGCCCCAGAACCCTATTCTCATTATTAAGGCTCCTATCTGAAGTGTTTTCGAACCCCAACAGGCTCAACACTTCAGCTCAACCTTTGATGTATGGGAGTTTCCGAAAATAGGGGACCCTAAGATAGCACCCTAAATAGTAGGACCCTTATTAAAAGGGCCCCAAAATAAGGTACCCCCTATTTTGGGAAACTCCCGTATGGTGGGAGTATCACCGAAGGTTAGAGGCCACCTGGACCTCTGCCGACTTGGGCACCTTTGTGCCGAGGAGCCTGCGATCAAATCTGATGCGATGGATGCGCAGCTGACCTGCGGCAAAGAAGGGTTTTTTTTGGTACACTTCTCGATTTGTGCGTGTCATCCCAAGAAGGGTTTAGGGTTTAGGGAGCAGTTAGGGTTCAGGGTTTAGGGTTCGCGAAAGCTACCCCTCAACTCAATCAAGGAATCTAGCGTAAGCTTCATACGGCGTCGAACATACGTCGAACTGCGTAGGGCTCCTTAGTAAGGTCTACGGCTTACGGTCTACTCCTGTCGATTAAGATTAAGGGGTGAATCGGGCTTTCTGCGGACAGGTGGAAAATGCCCCGAACCCTGAATCTGCGAACTCCACAGCCCCCAATTCAGGGATTCAGGGCTTCGGGGTTACGGCCTCAGATTGCAGACCCCCCCAAACCCTAAACCCTAAACCCCTAAACCCTAATGTCCCCAAGAGCCCAAGGCAATAAAGCCCAGAACCTCCAAGGCCCAAAGGCCATAAGAGCTAGACCTTATGCCCCGCTTGAAGAACGACGGCTTCCACGGAGGCCTGCCGAAGTTGGCTCAACCTGAGAGAGGCGCAAGGATTGAGGATGATGAGGGGCTTAGGGTTTTCTTCAACGTTTAAACATGTTTTAGAATGAGGGTTCGGTAGGGCAGCTGTTGGGTTCGTAAAAGGTGTATAGGGCTTCGACTCTCTTGTGTTTTACGGGTTCCTTTATGAGCCAGTTACTGGTGTCTGTCGAGGAACTTAAACATTCTTAAGAAGACGAGCACAAGTCCTGTTTACAGTGGTTCCAGTGAAGGTCCTGGGGATGCGGCCAGATTAGAGGCCACAGGGTTCAAGTCTGTGGCCTTCGGGGTACTTCAGGCAGACAGAAGCCTGTGCTTGGGGTCTGACAGTTTGAAGGCAAGGGACCATGATTTGTCAACTCTTCGTAAATGTATATGTAACCTCCGATTGGGGATGCCAAAGACCCCGTTACAACTGTGTCGAGAAGCGCCTTGTCGGTAAGCAACGCAAAGGTACAGGTTCCATGCGGGACTGCAAAGGCACCGCCCTGAAGCGGCTTATGACGGAAGCCCTGAAACCCTGAAACGAAACCAGGAGCAGCAAAACTGAAAAGAAGCATCGGCAGCAGTGGCAATCGTTGTCGATAATGTCATGAGAAGGGATATTTGTCCGCTGGTGGATCTAGAGCCTCAACTTTTTGATGCCCGATGACCAAATCGAAAAAATCCTAGCCCCCGAGCCGAAAAGCCCACATCCCCACCAAGCATGTCTGAGAACCCTAAACCCTAAACCCCAATCCCTTAAACCCTAAAACCCAAAACAGCAACGAAAAGAAAAGGAGGAGGGAACCCGGCTTTACCCGGACCCGATCATGACACCCCCAAGACCCCTACACGAAATCGTGCGCTACTATAGGGGCCTTCATAATTAGAATAGGGTTTGGGGTTTATATTATACTATAGTCATAATGGTCCCCTAGGCAGTACAGTTTTGCTGAGTTTTCTATCAGAAAAATAAGGAACCCACACAAGAGTATAGGTAATTATTTAGGCCCCTATATTACCCTAAACCGTGCCCTACGCCAAAATTCCACACCTCGCCTGGAAACAATTGACAAAAGAGTTCCGAACTTCCGAAACACGAGCCGCTGCGCCAAGCGTCAGGGGCACTCGCCGCAAACCCCAAGCGAACCAGGTCGTCTGAGACTCAGGCCTGCAATATCACACGTGTAAATACATACACACATATATATATATATATATATACACATGTACATGTATGTATGTATGCATGTATGTATGTATGTATGTATTTATGTATGTATTTATGTATTTTGTATGTATACACACTCGTGTACAGACATCTACGGAAATATACATACGTACACATACATAGTACGAGCAATCGTACAAACAAGACTACTGATATTGAATGTTGCTCTGTTGCGGCTAGCTGGGAAGTTGTGGACATGCAGTTGAGGGTTTAGGGATGCTGGGCCCCGGGATGCTTATGGTGTAATGTCAGACCGACGGTTCGGGGTTTTGCGGTAGGGTTTACCTTGGAAGAGGGGAACTATGTTGCTGGTCTAATGGTGCTTAGTGAGCGATAATTCATGGTAGCAGTCGACATGTTAGTCACCTTGCGCTTTCTGGAGACGACGATGGTGCTGGTGATGATGCTGGTGCGTTCGGGTCGGTGATGAGCGTCACTACTGCTTCCAGGACGAGAAGCACTGCCAAAATAACGATGCCATGGTGTATGGTTGCATGTACATGCATAAGTCCACACACAGGGCATCACCACGTGTCCATGTCTTCTTTGTCGGTATTGCAGGCCCTGCCATGTCACGAAACTATACGATATTACCTAGTATACTGTGCTATACTACACTATACTACTACTATACCATACTATACTGTACTATATTGTACTATACTCTACTGTACTATACCAAAACTAAATCCTAATAGGCCCCCTTTCAAGGACCCCCCCCCCAAAACCCTATTAAAACTCTTCAGGCTCCTTTTTGTTACCTTCCTTTCCCCAGGACCGGCCTCAAAGGCCTCAGCAAGTGCTTCTTCCGAACGAAGGACTTGAAGTCCCAACGCTCCGGTTCCTGGGCAGTTTAGGGACCCTAAACCCTATAAACCCTAAACCTAAACCCTATAAACCCTATAAGCCATAAGCCCTAAACCCCTAAACCCCTAAACCCTTAACACTAAACACCTAAACCGTTTAGGGATTTGGGGGATTGTTGCGGGGGGCCTTAGGGCTCAAAGGTTTAGGTGTCATTTTGGGGTTGTAACGGCGCCTTCGTCGGGGTGCGGGTTTGCAGTTTATGGCTGCGGGGTCTCCCCAGAGAGCCCACTACCCCTTACGTAAGTCAGGAATATATCTTAAATGTGTATGGGGATTCATATTATGAGCTAAGACAGTTAAGCTATATTCCTTAATTAAGAGGTATTGTGCTCTCTGGGTCAGGGTTTCCGGCTCGAAGCTTCTCTTGACTTGGGATTGCTTGAAGGCTTTAGTTTAAGGGTCTAGCGACTCGAGGAGAAAAAACGAACGCCAAGCAAACACCATGAATCGCAGTAGATGCGGCTTCGGACGAACAGTAGCATTCCACAACTTGAATATACTGCACTACTCGATGCTATACCAACCCTAAGTGGAGTCAAAGGTACAGCATCGTCCTCGGATTCGGTGGTCGCGTCGTCCTAGGCAAAACCAGCGACAGAACCCTGTCCAGGATACGACTTCAGGGCTGTTCTGCTTTGCACTCCGTATGCAGGTTACCAAGTTCTCTCATCAAGCAAGATATCAGAGCCCTTTATGTTGATGGGAACATTGGTTCACTGGAGGTTTCTTTGTGTGCAGCTATTGTCCCGCGGAAGTGGGCCGAGTAGTGTCGGTCTGGCCTATCCCGTAACCAAGGATCCTGAACAATGAAACCTTAACCCTGCACCTTCAAACCCTAACCTCACTTTCGTATTTAACTTAGGTCATCAAAACCCGACATATAACTACCCATGAGGGTGGTTGTCAAAATTATGGTCCCTTTTTGGGTCCTGATTATAGTACGGCACCTAATATTTGGGGTACCCAAAAAGGGACCATGATTTTGACAACCACCCATGAAGAAACAACAGAAAAATCCAAAACGGCGAACCCGCAAGCTTCCACCTCTAAGCCAAAGAATTCAAACCGGCCTAGAGCCACTGGCTCCTCAACACGAAACTCTATCCCACGCCACATTGAGCTTTGGGGCTTAGGTTTAGGGTTTAAGGGTTTAGGGGTTTAGGGTTTAGGGGTTTAGGGGTTTAGGGTTTAGGGGTTTAGGGTTTAGGGGTTTAGGGGTTTAAGGTTTTAAGGTTCCCTCCGACATCCAGAATCCAGAACCCAAAGCCGATTGGACTGGCAGGTTGGACATGACTCCCGACCGGTCCTCTGCGGTGTATCTCAAGCTGTTCACAAAGAACCCGGCACCTGATTTCAGATTTAAGGTTTAGGGTTTTGGGTTCAGACTCCACATCAACACCCCCTCCGCTCCGGACTTTGCGGTTTATGCTGCTTCGCAGTCCTGCGCTGCTAAGCGTTTGAGCCCTAACCCCATGCAGCTTCGACAGTTCCGAGCTTTGTAAACAGAACCTGCGTGAGACCCCATGAGGGTTTCCGAAAACAGGGGACCCCAATATAGTACCCTAAATAGTAGGATCCTTATTATTATAAGGACCCCTAAATACGGCAATTACCCTATTTCCGGAAGCTCCCCCAGCCTCGAGAACTAGGAATTTCAACGTGCCTCTACTCTAGGGGCCTAAATAATTACCTATTCTATTTTGTGGGACGCGCCCGAATAGGGCACTGGAGTCCGCACAGGAATACCAGGAATATTCTATTTTGGGGGGTTTCCTCATTATAGTTATAATAGGCCCCCAAACCCTATTCTAATTATTAAGGCCCCTATATTAGCCTATCAATGGTCCTTGCTGTGATGGCAACGTCTAGACCCGGCAATTCTCGTCAAGGGTTCTAGGCTATCGCGGCTTATAAGACCTGGCTGAACCCTGCCGAACCTACTGCTACTATGATTTCCTTCTGTATCAAAAGCTCTGGAATCTGACAGGAACAATACTTTCTTAGAAAGAGGCACAGTAACTGTTTTTGCATTCCGGTCAGGCTTGTAACTCCTCCCAGGACTTCTAACCGCCACGGCACCCTCGGCGATGCCGCCCATAGCCATCTGCTGCTGTCGAAGCCTTTGATGAATTGAATCTTCAGGCCGTTGTGATTTAGGGTTCAGGCTGTCGGGCTTTGGGTATGAGCCTCTCCACTACCTACAATGACTCTCATCGGTAACTACAGCGCAGGCGCAGTATAGCCCACAACCCCACTGTTCCTTCTAGTATGTCGGCGTGTCACCGCAAATCAGCCTTAGGGTAAGGTATATATTTATACATGTACATATATATATATATATAGATTTAAATAAACAGATACATATATATATATATATATATATACATATACTTACTGGCTGAAAGGCCCGGGCCATAAAAGTTGAAACTTTTATACCGGAAACTAAGCATCTACAGCACATCAAGGCGACGTCCAACACTTCTTTCCACGCATCACTTGCTCGATTCCAGGTGAGAATGATGTTGTGTTGTGGCTTCGATGCTTCAGGCTTTAGCTTGTGATTTGTCAGGCGATGTTGTGTTGTGGCTTCGATGCTTCAGGCTTTAGCTTGTGATTTGTCAGGCGATGTTGTGTTGTGGCTTCGATGCTTCAGGCTTCAGGCTTCGGCACTCACTCTGCCGCCGGGGTCAAACCTCAGCGGTCGGAAGGCGCCGAAGCAAAGCAGGACAGTGGCAAAGCCGATGCAAGCACAACTTCTCAGACAGATCTGCGACGGCACTTTTTGGTCTCCCCGGCTCCACCCCAAACTCATCAGTCATCTACAAAGCGAGTTTCCGTGGAAACAGCCGAGATCACATAGAAAGCTATGTTTTGAGGATAATTGTGTCGCGACTGCAAGATGGATATCAGACGTCGTGAAATTCAGACTGTTTCACTTAAGGAAACATCCCCGAGGCGCTCAAGGCAGCCCCACCCCTGGCTTTCAGGCCGTGTAGTAGGCAGAGCACGACTGCCTAGGATTCATTCAGAAAGAGAGCAAGAAGGGAACCCACAGCAAAGGGACAGCAGTGCGACTCGGCGGCATTGCTGTCGCAGCAAACCACACATCTTTGGTACCTAGGATCACTGAGAACGTAAGGGCAGGAATCAAGAGAAATAACAATTGCAGCAAGGTTCCTGACGAATCAGTCGGAGCCGGTGCACGCCGACCACTTGTCAAGCACTCGATGGCTGTGTGGAAGTGCCTGACCAAGACAAGTATCAAGTTAGATTGGACAAGATGAAAATATGGCCTTGGCATCGTTGCTCAGTCGTTCAGGCAGCATCGGGCGGTATCAGGTGTCAGTCCACTTCGTGCCTGAGTAGAGAACTGCATGTACATGTGCAAAGTCATGACCTATAGCTTGTGTGCGAATACCAACGAAAAAAGAGCCGTGTTGCTGGCAGCGATGAACTCCGCCACTGTCATCAGACAGCCCGGATGCCTCTGCTTCTTCTTCCTGTACTTCTCAGCCGTCTCACCGTCGACTATGACAGAACACTTCTTGCAGGTAACATCTCGCCATCTCTTGCGACGTGTCCATGAAATTGTAATGTCAGCCCTCTCCGCGGCATCGAGAACAGCACCCAGCATCCGAGTGGCGGGCAAAGCAGAGTCGTCAGACATACAGGAGCTATGCAAGCACAGCTCCTGTGTCGTCGTCAAGCTGCTTTTCAGGCATGTCAAGGCTGGCAAGAGACGGCCCTCATCCATGCATGCCTGCACCCATTGTCGACCGCAAAAACCGCCTCCCAAGTGGCGAGCAACAGCCGAGCAAGCACTCTCAGACGGCTTGAAGATGAAGTCACGCTCGACCTCGTCAGACAAGCAGACCCAGTAGAGGAGTCGATGACTGCCGCAGTCCTCAGATGTATGACGAAGCAGATCGTAAACCAAATTTCTTTGGTCTTCGATCGACTCAGGCCAAGCACGAGCATTGCCCAGTCGTTCAAGATCAGGCAGGCCCGGTGTCTTGCTGGAGTCATGGCCATGCACCACCATGATCAAACGGTCGCGGTCGGCCGCAAGGACATCAGACCGCACGGCTGAAAGTCTGGCCACGCCGATCTTCTTCAGCTTCTCGAAGCGTTTTTCAGCCTCCCGCTCTTTTTCTATCAGGCGGCCAGCAGCGGCTGCTTCGGACGAAGCATCAAGTGTCGCCCATTCCTCCTTCTTGGTCTTGTACTTTTGCAGGGCGGCAGTCAGGCTAACTTGCTTGTCAGTCCTGCGACGTTTGGCTGATTCGCCGGCTTCAGCCTCCAAAGTAGCGAGGTCTTCAAGCTGAGACTCCGCCGGCGCCTGTTGCAAGAGTTGCTGCTGCTCCAGCCCTCGCTGTCGCTTCAAGCCAGCTCTTGAAAGCGGGTTCAGGCGGCCGTTCAGAACCCGACGACCCAGTGAGCTGCGGCATCCTTGCGAGCCGCCGCTCGGAGCAAACAGGCGACGGTATTCTTGCAGCAGTTTCAGGCACGGCTTTCTCGGGAGGATGCTGTGGGGCTCGCGACAGACGAGTTGGTCGGCTGTCGGCCCGTCGAGGCGGACCTTCATTAATGACCTGGCACTTCGACAGAGACTGAGAGCAGAAGATTTTCAAATTTCTGGTCCCATGCAGGACGACAAGATGGACTTGACATGAGCCGAGTTGCCGAAGGTGTCCCCGCGAAGTCTTGCCCTTTCTCCCCTCAGAGAACTGCTGCAGCCAGCTGAAATTCTGCTCAATCTCGCCGGTGCTCGGGAAGCAACTCAGGACGAGGGCAGCCTCAGGACAGAATGGCTTTCGTCGTCTCACGTTTAATCCCACAGCTCAAAGACACTGAGCTAGGCAGGTAAGGAGCCGCTTCAGACAAAGCCGGGAGTTTGTCAGACCAATGCCGCATGGTCCTGGACCAGATCTCATTCAAATCCTCGCCTCCGGTCCTCAGTCATGCACTGTTCGTCTTGGAGTGAAGGGCCTCCGAAGAAAAGACTTGTCGCCGGGAGGCTGTGACTTCACCAGCAAGGCTGTAGGACGTGCCAAGAGGAACTCTTTGGCCAGCTGTGTCACCTGAGCGGTTGAACATCACAGCCTCGGTCCCGCTGAAGCGGTGTGGGCTCCAGACCTCCACTTGTGCAGCCTCTGCTAGCGGCTTGAAGATGTCAGGCCTTGGCATCGGATGTTAGTAGCGGTGATTATTACAGGAGCAGAATCGCACAGAAGATCATGGATCCTGTGGCTCTGGCAAAGCTTCGTCGCTGCACAGGGTATGGTTGACATCAAACGGAGAAAGCGATGCCTGGACGCCAACCTCCACATCGGCTTTCAGGCCTTGAACAAAAAGCTGAGCGATGTTGCGAATGGCACCGAGTTCTTTGGCCACGAAGGAACGTATCTTGTTCCTGTTGGCGCCGCTGTGCCAGAAGATCATCTTTTGCTTTACAACCAGGCACTTGTTCTGCTCAAGCTTTAGAGTCGCCTGCAGTCTTTGTACGTAGCCATGTGCATAGGCATCATCCAGAACCAGCGGCTGCTGCAGCTCTCCTGCCGGACTCCGAAAGTCGAAGAGTCGATTGATCAGACGCTCGAGCTGCTGAAGATTGTGGGCTGTCGCAGCCAATCGCAGATGTTGGCCGTCCAGTGAGTGGTTGAATTTCCTTGGATCTCTTGCCAGAGAAGACTTGCAAACAAGACTGATTCCTGCAGTCGCGGCTCGCAGCGGCACAGGCAAGCTCCGCGATCAAGCCAAGTTGGAGGAGCTTCTCCGGCTGAAAGCATTGTTGAAGAAGCTTAGTGGCCCAACCTCAGACAGCACAGACAAAACATCGGCTAAGCAAAGGCCTCGCCATCCACGGGGACTCATGAACGAGCACGATCAGTTGAGTGGCCTGACAGTGCATCATCCACCGCTGCGAGATGGCTCAGGACATTGCAGACCGCATCTATGTTCTCAGCCACGTTGACGCAAGCATCGCAGACGGTGTTGAAACGTTGGGGTGCAAAGCCGAAGTGGCACAATCGCCTCAGGCTTTCGTCCACACCCTCAAGCTGCTTCTCTGCCGTCAGCCGCTGGAGCTTCAGCGAGTTTCGCACAGCCCTGCAAAATCCTCCTGGATTTTTCCCACTGCCATCGGAAAATCCAAGCACCCAGCTCTGGAGAAGACCCTGCACATCCGGGTCAGACGACAAGGCCTTTTCGAGCGACCTTTGTCCACTATGGACGGAGCATCTCATAATCGCCTTCAATCCCGGCAGGGTTCCCTGGACCTCATGTGAAGGTGCGGTCCTTCAAACATTCAATATGCTGTTCTTGAAATCCGCAGAAACTGCAAGCGAGGCACTTTACTCAGCCGTGCCGCCAGAGGCTCGCTAAATTCCCCGTCGGCCATAAAGATGCGGATCTTGTCTTTGAAAGCATTCCGGAGGGCTTCCTCCGGCAAGAAGCTGGCCAGGGTGTCAGGCAGCGATCTGGCTTTCTCCAGTGCGGCCTCGGCTGGCAGGGCTACTGTACTGGAACCCGATCTGCCCTGGCTCACGTGCTGCCCAGCCTTCTCAGCCGTGGCCAGGTCTAGCATGCGGCAATGAACGGACCAGTCGGCCATGACGTACCGCACCTTCAAAAGCTCGAAGCCGCCTCTTGCATCCTGCAACACACGACGCACTGAAAACCGGCATGGATACTACTCTTGGCATTCGGCTCCTCAGCCAAGGCCACTGCCCGAACGGGTTGCTGCAGGCGACGGCGGTCCACGTTGAAGGCGGCCTCAGCCGCAGCCTCCATGATGTTGTAAAACATTCCTCGGGACGAACGCCCCGTTGGCCATAAAGTCGGATTTGTGCGATTGTTGCTCAGACACCGCCTCTGGTATTCGTGCCCGGAACCTCGAGGAAGAGGAACTTCCAGTGCCGTCAAGCATTGGGCGGCTGTGGGGCCGCCAGTATCAGACGAGACCAGCCGTTTCACGGTTGTCTTATCTTCGTCCACCCCCTGGCCTTCATCGTGGTCCTCAGCCTTGCCTTCAAGGAAACGGACAGCAGCCAGGTGGAATTTGCTTTTCTGGGCATTGGCATTCTGCTTCAGGCCGCCGTGCCGAAGCATGTCCTCTATTTGAAGAGCAGCCGGTCTGCCGCCACACCTGACATGAAGCACGAGAAGAGAAAACCTCAAGCACACCATGCACCGCTGTCAATGCCATGCCATTCGCGATCCCAGGCACCGAAGTCCAGCACCAACGCTGCATTCGATCCAAGGCCGACTACGCAGTGGCACGCATTCCTTGCCGCCGAGGGCTGCGGCATACTCACGGCAGACTGAGCACCCGATGCCGAACTGCGTGCCCGGATCAGACCGGATCAGCCATGACCTGGTCGAACCTGGCATGACAGACTCGCTCGTCCTGTCTTACCGCCTTCGCAAGATTCCCGCCTTTGATGGTGTAAGTACACCGCTGTTTCCAGTCCGCAGCATGTGCTATCCACCGGCACTGGTTGCAATTCTTTTTGCCTTCCTCAGTCAAGAAAGGATTCACTGCAGGAACATGGCGAGGCAGGCACACATGGTCAGAAGGCAAGTCGCGGTGCATCGCCGCAAATGCTTCTCTTCGGCAATACGCCCGGCCATTGTTGCCCTAGGAGGCCCTGTGAACTATTGTCACGACTGTCGCAGGTGCATGCCGCATACATTGGCATCGGACTTGCTATGCTTCTACTGATGTCATGCCTCTCTACAACCGTCCTAAGGATCAAGCCTGGGCCTACACGGCCTCTGCATCGGATTTGTTATGCAGCTCATGATACTCATGATGACATGCCTCAGGCTGCCTTGTCAGACTCAGCGATGCAACAGACTTTCGGCGCCACGACTGCTAATCGTCTCTCTGCAGGGCGAGACTAGAAACTTGCCCAAGCCCCATGCTTCAGGCGGTGCTGTTTCTAATAAGCAACACCCACCGCAAAGAAAATGCTTCAGACTGGGCCTTGAATCCTGTGCGATTGCATGCACAACGGCTCAGTCACGTTTGTTCTTCTTCTCCTTCTTCTCCTTCTTGGACTTCTTGCTCACAGGCTCCACCTGCCCAGGACAACAAAAGCATTTCTCCCGCAGAAGTGTCCCCAAGCTTGCCTCCTGGTTGCAGTGTGGGCAATAGTAAGCCCGCTTCGAGCCCTGTCGCACAGGCACAGTCTTCTTCACGTGTTTGAGGTAGATCTGTCCTCAGGCAGGAAGATTCAGCAAGAGACACAAGGTTTCAGGCTTTGCAACCAGTTCGGCCAGGGGGCTGGCGATGTCCATCACATGGCCACGGGTGAGGAGGGTCTGCTTGGAGAGCTTGCCGCCATATTCCGCAGCGAACCCCATGCATTCCAGGTCCTTCTTGTTCTCAGGCGACAGATGATCTTCTGCTTTCTGGATGATATTCCTTCCCAAGAGGTACACACGACCTCTTGCTGCACGAGGGCACACAAAGGCCATATGGCCTGGGATGGTGGCGACCTCTGCACGTTTCAAGTAAGAGTTTGACTGACGAGTGTCTCTTATTATGTATTCGCCCTTGCAGGTGCAAATGCTCGAAAGCGGCCTTGTGGAAGAAGCCACCATCGAAGATTCCCTTGCTCTCGGCTACCCGATGATACCACAGGCCGACACGCTCGTCAGCCTTCTCAGGCGAAGGTGGAGTCCCGCAGGGGAACAAGACCACGTCATGCTTGTCAGACCAGCCTCATACGGGGGCGACAGGGGACTGAGACAGCCGGTCGCTTGCAACTCCAGCCTGCCATTTGCACCTGATTCGGCGGGTCAAACAGTATATCCAACGTCGTGATCTTGCTCCTTGGAGGAGGCAGTTGAAATCACTCAGCCGGTCATCTGTCTGTGTATCGTCCGGACTTGCATGTCTAGTTGCTCTGGTGCCGACTGCATCATGAATTTCAAGAGGTCCCGCATGCCGCTGTGGTGCTGCACGGCCAACCCCTTCACTTTGAAGCCCTCTTTGATCTTCACCAATCCATACGTGGACTTCGTGGCCGGAGTCTTGCCCTTCTTCTGCATCAGGAGACTCACAAGATTATCCACCTGGTCGAAAGAAGCAAAGTCGATGTCGTGTAATGGGATAATATCCGGCTACTTCAGGTCCCGGGCCCGACTAATGGCCGCAGCAGTCGCTGCATTCGGGATGTCAGACGCTCCTCATCAAGGAAACGTGGAAGACAGCATAATTCATAGTCATGAAGAGCAGCCCGAGAAGAACTTACACAGATTTTCCTGCCTGAGCCCGCCATGCCAAAAATGCAGCCCGGGCTGTGCACACTGGGATCTAGCACTCGGAGCCCGAACTGCAACTTTCGTATGCTTCCCGGCAAACAATCCAAGGTCATCCGACAAGACGGTGCAAGAGACTGAGATGGTGACTGACTGCACTGCTCCCGCAATGCTGACCCAGACCTACAGTCAGCAGCAGAGGTCAAGGCTGCCGTGCCTTGAAGTATCAAGCAAAGCTGGGGCTCCTGCTTCACATCTCGCTGCACGCAACGGAACCTGTCCAGGCCGTCATTGTCATTCATTGCAGCACACGATCACACCGACACACACACACACGTGCAGAGGCCAGCAGAGACGCACACGTCTGCCACTTCAACGTCGCTCTGCATGTTTTACTGTGCTTGCAATGCTTCGCGAATCACCGCAGGCCATGCTCCTCTGCAAGCTGCTGGCAAGACCGGCGTTTTTGGAGCACCGGTTCAGCCATCGCAAGCCACATCAGACGGACTTCCTCGGCAACCTCCCGACTGGCATTGCTCAGTCTGAGGACACACCGTGCTTTCTTGTCAGGCGGGCCCGGGTTGCAGGCATCAAACAATTCCAACAAACTTTCCGCTGCCTTCCAGGAGCTCATATGAAACAAGGCCTTTTTGGTAGCTGCCTGGTGAACCGTCATGGCCAATGCCCACGCATCGGCCTTCACAGTCAAAAGTTGCTTGAGGATCTTCTCAGACATGCCCTTGGCAACCTCAGGCGCTCGGTAGGCATAGGTGTACACCCCTGCCCCGTCCTCCACGAAATCCTCTGCCAGTGGAAGCCGGTATGTCATCCCGAAGTCGATGATGAAACAGGAGTTTGTCAATGGATCATAAAGAATGTTCTGCGGCTTCACATCACCGTGTATATGCTCAGTCCTCCTGTGCAGGTGGGCCAAGCCGGCGAGCACTTGATGGGTGAGGGCCAACTGCTTCTCAGCATCAAAAGCTCCAACGTTGTGCAAGTAATGCAGGACGGAGCCCGCGGCCACGTAAGGCATGATCATGAAGGAGATCTGGCCGGGAACGAACTCATCCTCAGTCACCACCGACTCTGCGAGCAACGGCAGAAAGGTCTCGTGAGCCAGCTGCTTCAGCAAGGCGACTTCCTCAGACAGGTGGAAATTCGTGTTGCTGACCTTGGCCGCATAGATGCGATGCGAAACCCGGTGCCTTACTTTCATGATGCCGCCGTAGCCGCCCTGTCCAACCCCGGCCTGAGAGCCACAGACGATGTAGTCGCCGAAGGTGATGTCGTCCGGAGCACGGTCAGACAACAGAGGCTCAGGTGCCACAGGCGAGTCGGTTCGCTGAGAGTTTCTCAGACGAACGCCTGCCTTCTCTGCTGCCTGCCGTTGGTTCGCGAAGCCAAGCCTGGACGCCGCCAGGAACTCCTCCCGCTCGTTGTCCCCCAAGTCACGCCAGGCACTAGCCGCCTTTCGTGGACTCAGGCGACGCTGCTGGCAAAATAAGGCGAACGGCTTCACGGCCTTCTTCACGACGCCAGCAGCGACTGCCCTCTGCAGCTGGGTCGCCTGCCTCTTGGCAGGCCGCTTCATGGCGGCACTCAGACTCCGAGCACAAAAATTGCGGATATTGAGAGATTTGACCAAGTCGCACCTTCACCATGTTGTTTGACAGATCACGTACTAACTTCTGCAATCCTCGGGTGTTTTACCTCGTCTGCCATCCTTGAGGGCGAAAAGTGCAATCTGCTGGGTCCACGTCTCAAACTGGACGTGCTTCAGGCTTCAGCTGCATGGTTAAAGGTGCAATGCTCCATCAGACTGGACCCAAATGGCCTTCTACTTTTCTACGTCCTCACCTTCGCTGCTGTCAGACTCATCAGACGGTGACGAGACATCCGTGGTTTTCTCAGGCGGTGGCACCGTCGTTGTCTGAGGCGGTGGCACCGTCATTGTCGCAGGCGGGGGAACCGGAACCGCGGGCGAGGCAACCGCTGTCGAGACAGGCGGCATCTCAGGCTCAGCCCTCTGCGGCTCAGGCACGCGGTAGAATCGCTGGTCGTTGGCATTCTTGACGCGACCAGCCAGCTCCTGCCGGATGATGCTCTGGAGCATCATCCGTTGTTCAGGCGTCCTCACCACGTTGATGCAGGGCACCCGCTGTTCTGCGGCGACGACGCTCAGGCACCCCGACCCCGGAGAAAAGTTCACGACACAGGCAATGGGCGAGACCGTGTGCAGCAGCATCCGGTACACCTGTGGGCTCCTGCCAATTCAATTCACCGGCCCAGACAATGGACTCAAACTTGCGACACAGCCAGCAGCTCCTCTCGAAGTGCACCAGAGGGACTGTGTCGGTGTCCTCCACGTGCTCAGCCGGTGCCACCTCCCGGGGCCGAAACTAGTGCTGCCTGAGCCGTCCCAACACGCTCAGCCCTGCACCTGGCCGCCGTTGTCGGTCACACCCTTTCCACACACCAAAGGGATGACCTGACCGATTATTACAGCAGGATGAATTCGCACATATCCGACTTCCGGCCTCCTTCTTCTGGCTCACCGTCACCCGGATGAGGCTCTCAGGCGAAGGCAAGGGCACGTTCGGCAGCACCTCAGAGCAACGATTCCCTATCCCCAGCTCCGTCATTAAACTTTGCTCCCAGACGTGTCTCAGTCCGAGACAGGACAGGCGGTGCTCACCACGCCATCAGTCGCCAGCCATTTGTGCTCTTTGGCAGGCAGCGGGTCAGACTTGCACCCGAAGTACATTGTCTCCCTGGCCCCGGCGATGCTGATGAGACTTCCAGCGGTTCCCGTCTTCCGCCGTTTGCAGTTCCTCTCCTCCCTTGGCTGGAAGCATGAACTGCAGTCAACACAAGAACAGGCGGCCAAGCCAAAAAAGGAAACTGCAGTCAAACACAAGAACATGCGGCCAAGCCACGCAGACCGCAAGTAGTCTTTCCGCCCTTGAACACTTTCTTCGCTTCCGATCAGAATAATGCTCTGGGGCGTCGAGCCATGATTCCTGAAAGACTTGAGGATGGT